CGTGCGAGCCTTTTCTATGGGCTTAGGGCGCGAAATGTCATCGACAATGCCAAACCTCAAATGAACTCGAGACTGATGTGTGAGAAAGGCGGAAAGTAATTCTAATTTATATTGGAACCCGGTATCGGCATTTATGAATGCATAATCAACCCATTTCTCACGTATCAGTGGAGTTAGTTTAAGTAGCACACTATGCAATAACTCTGGAGAGGCGAGGTACTCCACAGAACCCAACATCTTTATGGTGTGGACACAGTTGCGTACCACACAAGCTAACTGGTGGAGTTCCTTGCCACCGTCAGATGCTGACAGCTTGGACATGGCCTTAACTTCTGATACTAAGTGACGGATCAGAAGCTCAGGTTGACCAAACTGCTCCTGCAGAGCCTCCATGATTTCCTCTGGGTCTTGCGACAAGGCCAGGAGCGAAATGACAGCATCACGAGCGGCTCCTCGGAGTGCATTATTTAATCGACCTATATTTTCCGTCGCCGAAAACATTTTTTTGGAATTTAGATATGAACTTCTAAATGTTAACCAATGAGTGGGTGACGTGCCGGAAAATATAGGCAAGCTAACTACCGTACCTGGGTTAATTTTTCCACTGCTACAACGGGCGAGGTCACTTATGACTTCAGCCAACTTCAGGAAGTCACTGGGTTGGTTTTGTGAAGTGGTAGGTACATGTGAGCGGTCATTTTTATTTAGGTTACAAATAAATTCGTTTTGTGTACCTAACGTGTGTGTCTGTGTACAAGGATTATGAACGTGAGAGGGCGGCTTAGATTGAAACGCGCCAGCTTCATTTGTAGCTCCCAGTGTCGCAGTAATGCCTGGCTGAGGCACACCGTAGCTGTAGTTTTGGGTGGAGGTTACGCCGTGGGCACTTGATGCTGCCACTGCGTACGGTGCGGGCGCAGAAGGAAGCGCGTGCTCGCGCGTCGCAAATAATATATTTGCAACGCCTGGCGAGGCAGCGCGCTTGCGGCCGCATCGTAATGATGCTTCCGGTACTTCCAATGACGGTTGGACAGATGCGATGTGGGGCGCGTGCTCGCGCGCCGCGGCACTGACACTGATGCCAGCGACACAGACGCCAGGCGAGACCACACGCTCGCGGTCTGTGGCCAGCATTGGGCAGGAAACACCAGGCACTTGTGGCGCAGGTGTGTGCTGGGTCGGCATAATCTGTCTCTCAGACAAAGATGTGTTAGTATGAGATACCCAATTTTCTACTCTAGAGCTTCTAAACGACTGTGAGTGCAAGCTGGCAGCTTCATCAATAGCCGCTAATTCAGCCTCTAATTCTAAGTTAGCTACCATACGGTCCCGATCGGCGGCGGCTCGCTCGCGCTCGGCGGCAGCGCACTCCCGCTCTGCGGCGGCACGCTCTCGCTCAGCGGCGGCGCGGTCTCGGTCGGCCTCAAGTTCGGCTAAGCGACGTGCATGTAGTGCTTTTGCCGCAAGACGTTGAGCTCGGAGTGAGGTCGATGAATGATGGGAGCCGCGATGTGAACCGTGGGGATTAATAACACGTGAAGCGCTAGCGGATACCTCTGAAGGAGGGATATCTAGATCCGTTGGGGCGCTTTGTGCCGCTGCCATACCTCTTGTCAACACCATTTGTTGAAATATTCGGAAATAAATTATATAAATTTTTGTTGTATATAAAATATTTAATATTAGCTGGTAATTACACCGGTAGAAGGACCAATATTGCGGCTGGCAACGGCAGTGAAATAGGGTAATATAAATAAAATTACTTACCAAAATTATAGATGTATTTAGTGGTAGCGTATATGACACAATGTAGCAAAACAATATAATAAAAAATATATGTCAAAAATTGTATATAAAAATATATGGTTTAAAAATAGAAATATCTATAAAAAGAGGTCTGTCGCCAACACTAAGGGTTCAGTATTATTTTAACTACATATATTCCTCAATTCATACAAGAAGATTAAGTAGATAGATTACGCAGCATAGTAAAGTTTCAAAGTATATTCTAAAATATAGGAACAACAACAAAACTGCACAGATACAGGTATTTTATTAGAAAATTGAAGTTTTATGGAACACAAGTTCTATAAAAAAAATATACTTTTGGTAGGTCTTGTGAAGTAGTCTATTATTAAATAAACAGTAATAAACCTACTTTTAATAGTTTGATATATTTTTATATCTGCAAAATGACAAGTGCCTAACAACTATCTTATCGGAACACGTGTGCGGACAGGCGTTAAATAATTTGTGTCTCGACTTGGTGATAGAGGACGTAATAACGTTTTATTTATTATATAATTTTGACTTCAACAACTTCACTCTATACAGAAACAAAATACTAACACGCCGATCTTTCTCTTTCCTTAACTTTACCTTCTCTACCTAAAAGTTATCTGAAAGAGCGATTGTTTAGCGATGAGACCACCCGTTGTATTAGTTCATTTAAATTTATTATTTTAATTTTTTCTTCGTCTGGTGCAATAAAGAATATAATTAAAAGAAATAATAAAAATATGTAGACCACGGGGTAATTCACAAAAGATCTGTTATGTAAATCTTTCTTTTACCTAACTGGGCTGGAAAACACGACGGCGTAGGTACCTACTTTCATAGATATCTTGACCTTTCCTATTTGAAAAGCTTCAGGAACACAATCAACGTCACAATGACGTCCATAGAACCCCCGATACGTTGTCATCCCTCCGTACCCTGTGATTTTACTGCTATATACTGAAACCGAAACAACATATTGCTTGGCAGCCAAAATAGGTGACACGCAAACAACATTGTCTGTCCTTTTGTGGTAAGAGTATTCGCTAATAAACATAGAAATGTTTATATCGAAATATAACTTTTCTAACGCCTACACAGAATTGTAAATATTTTAGCGCTCGCTACCCATCTGACAAGACGAATCAGTTGATACGTACATTGCTCGTAGCCGACACACAGGATTTGGCCATTAGCAGCTCCATAAGATCTGTGAGTTTGGAGTGCCATCTACTTGCCTCCTATCGATCGTTGAAACTTTGCTGCCAGCTGCGCAAAACAGCATTAGAATAGTTTGACTTTCTTCAGCCATTAATTACCATCAATCACACAAAGTATTACTAAAATTAATGTAGCTAAGTACAGATTAAATAAGGCTTGAGCCATATCTTGTCGTAATTTATTTGCAAGTAGCTTCGGATACGATACGATAAAGGAGACATAAAATAAATACTTTGTACGTCAAATTATATTTCTGACTGACTCTCCGGTAAAAGACAACAGACCGATACGAAACCGAGAATAAATATTAGAGACGGTAATAGTAGGTTCATCCCCTGCTATGTTTTTGTTTAATGGATGATAATGATTTAATACTGATTATCTGTACGCCCGCCTGCGCTAACGGTTTACGCTGGCAGAGCACCAATGGAGGATGATGACATGAGTATAAGGGCAGGTCAGTTTGCCCATCGTGATTAAATAACCAGGAATTAACCATGATGGTTTCCAGGGGAACCGCGTGGAGGTCGACCTAACATGGTACATTGCTAGCAAAGTGCCCATTACTGACAAACCCCTTCCTCCCTCCTCTGCCATGTAAAATTCAAATATACTGAGGGAAATGTGGGCATATCAAGATTTGCGTTCACCACACCACAATGCTTCTGACTACCCCATCTGGGATAACAGTCCCGGCGATATGTTATATTTTTAGGTACTGATATGATAATAAATAGGTACATACAAAATATCAAGGTCCTCGCTGTTAAAGTCGCGGATTTCGATAAAATAATCCCGAATGTATAAACATTAGTAGATAACTAATTTACACAAATGATGACAGAATACAAATAGCGACATTGACATAAATTTGATGACGTTTAATAGTACCTACATATATTCTGAGAAAATTAATAGTTTTTCGAGACATGGATTCGTAAAATTAGTTTAATTATCTTACTAAAATGTAACCCTGTAACCTGTGTACCAAACTCGTCCAACCTTTAAAAATCTTGAACATTCAAATATACAATCATTGTATTTATATTTACATAAGTAGGATCAATTATAGTCTCTACATTGAAATAATACGTTAATTAACATTTCCAGGACAACTACATTAATATTAATTGAGGGACATGTAGGTACTGTAAATTCAATTTACTATGTCGTAATTTTCCAACATTTCCTTCGACTAAATGATGTTAACATATGTATGTTTTCAAATTAATCCAGAAATCTTTTTCGGAACAATTATAAAATGATAAGAGTAAGAGGAAATTGTCGGAAACTGATAACAGTAGCAACAAAGACGGCGACTTTGCGCCAGAAATTAAACACATTGCCTTACTTTTTGAAAGTAACAGGTTCGATGCCAACTCAAAACAAATATTTGTATTTGGTATATATTGTATAGCCGGTACTATATTTTATTATTGTAATCTTACCTAAGTTTATATATAATAAATAATCAGTCTCTTATTGTATATTATTTAGACCTGTATATTTAAGTGGCATTAAGAAGTATAAATTACTCGTGGATAGATGGGCGACTTATATGAGTTCATACTTTTTTCAGATATTTAGTACAAACTCACTCAATAATATGTAATAATCGGATTATATTTCTGCTCTACATTTTAGAAAACAATCCTTTCACGTCCTTTAAAAATCCTTTAAAAACTTTCACGCCATATTTTAATTACTTTGTCATTTGAAATGATCGTAAGAAATGTACTGAACCTTCAACATGCCTCAATAATAATATAAACATTTAAAATGTAAACGCAACAGTTCATTGGGCCGATGTAGAAACCGGTCTGCCTTTGTTCGGAGTTTACTACGGCGCACGACTTCCCAGTAACAACGGGTATAGCTGACTGTACGATAATGATAATTAGTGGTTAACTGGTGTGGTGGACAGCTGACTAAAGGGGGGAGAACGACCGATAATCTAACAGTAGAGTACGATACGTACGAGTCTCTTGCGCAGTGCGGTCGTATCTGACGGTTTAGGCGCACGTTGGCGTCGCCTGATTACTCTTTGTTTACATCCAACGCGATCCTTTGTTATACTAGTAGCGCGATGGAAAACCAACGTATAGTTTATAAGTTTTATTAGTTCTGTGTTATTTGAGTTTTAAAAGTGAAAGTAATGTATTAAATGCAAAAATGAGCAACGATTCAGAGTCTCAAGATAATTCATCGTCAGAGTTCTCTCTGAATCTTGGCTTTGAAGATTTACAATACTCCGTGAGACATGGCATCTTCACTAGAGGTGAGATTACGATACATTTTAATATAATAATTTTAATATATGCTTGGTAACACAATTATACTTGTCAAATGAATATTTTCTAATCAACTCTACAAGTTTAGTATGACCGAATAATTCGTATCTATGGCTTCATATCAAGATGTTGTGAAAGAGCCCGTTAAAGCGATTATGTAGCTAGTTTATCTACAGTCGAGCATACATTTATCTTTCTGTGATAAATGTACCGAATAGTGTTTCAAGAACGATTCCTAATGCTGTAAATATGTATATAAAAGTTTATGACCTATTGTACCCCATTTCTGTAATTAAATTAACTTTTCAACATTATTGAACACTTATAACGTAATTTAATAAACATATCTTTTTCATCAGTAACGATATTCCGTAAATATTATTTCATTTAATTTTAATTGCAACTTGATAGTATAAATCTAAACGTATCTTGTCTAGTATTTAAAAAGGTGACAATGGATAAAATTATTTTGATAATAAATTTAATTAAATACCTATAATATAGCTATATACCGGCTAGTTGTAGTTGTAGTACCAATGACCAGCATCAAACGATACTAGTAATTATAAATTACGTGGAAGGTAGGGAATCATAGTTGCATTCTTTATACTAGTTAATAAAAAATCAATTAACAAAAACATTACCAACAGACAACATCCACAGCTCAGCTGATTAGTAAAGGATACTATTAACTGAATCATTAAATATAATCTAATTTACATTCCACAAATATCATAATATTGAACACTTCATTGTTCCTCGAATGTGTAAATATGGGTAAAATTGTCATAATAATTTAGGCGAAAAATACACATCAAGTTCTGAATGTTATTTTATTATATATTATATGTATGTATTATATTAAACATACAACATTCTTTAAGTTGCAAGATCACAATAAAATGACCTGTTAAAGGTGCCCATAACCATATACTCATTTGATTTGACATATTATTCGCAACTCTCTCGTTTTATATTAGGAGCACCTACCAATGCCTCCAAATGAAAATTAAAAACTATTTATATACTTTAATACAAGAGCTTGCTATTAATAATCTATTATTATTATGATATAGTAAAACTCTAATGAAAATCAAACACCAACGGAAAACAAATGTTCCGGTGCGGAAGTGCATATAAGGTAAATTGTCATGTCTTATGTCTTTACTCGTACATATATACACTATTATAACTTTGATAACGTATTCAATAAAAACATATGCAATTCAATTATTACTACGATAGCTGTAAATATAGAACTATCCTGAATTGGTGCTACATTACAAGGCAATGTCCTGCTACGTAGAATTTCAAAACTAGGGATCAAAAAGTTTTACCATGAAGAAGACTGAGGCACAAGTGTTAGTTATATTTATGGTTACATATATATATATATATATATATATATATAAATTAATATGATATTATATCTTACATAGAAAGTGCTAAAACACTATTTATATATGTAGAGCAGTAAATATAATAATAATACGTTAGCGTACCAGAATAATTGCTTTTTAACTTTAATGCAACTTCTAAAACTAATATTCTCGTCAAATTAAAATTTATATCATACTAGCTGTGCCCGCAGTTACACCTATGAAATTTATAGTCTATGTGTAAGTAAGTTTATATTGTGTTAATTAAATAAATAAATAAATGTGTTATTCTGATGTGTATGCTATATTATTGTAAAGTTTTATCAAATTTCGTTCAGTAGTTTTTGCGTAAAAGAGGGACGAACATCCATCCATACTCACAAACTTTCGCGTTTATAATATTAGAAAGATTATATAATAATTGTAATAGGTAAATTATATTGATAAACAAATTTCATGCCTTTGTGGTTGCAGGATTAAAAATAAAATTTTAAAAATCTTAATAATCCTAATTCATGATAAACAATCGGTAACTTTGAGCAAGAATTAAATGCTCATAAATTTGATAACTTAATTTGACCTTTGTCCCACAACGGTACTATATATAATCTCTTGTTTGTTGTCAATATGATAAAAAAAACCAAGCTTCATAATCCCATACAAAAATTGACACCAATTGAAATTAAAAAAGTGGGTTTTAAAATATTTCTTTTATTTATGTAATATTATGTTATCTATGATTATAATAAAATAATGCTTCGCATAGAAATTTTGAAAAAAAGAAATTCCAAAAAAATTTCATTCGTTCAATGTGGGTTACGAACAAATTTTTTACCTTAAAAAATGTGTAGGTACATGTACTAAATATCCATACAAATATTATAAATTTGAAAGTGAGTCTCTGTTTGTTACATTTTCATCTTGTTATTTTTGTCGTCTAAACGACTGAAGGGATCTTAATGAAATTTGTCACGTAGATAGATTGAGCAATTAGACTAAACATTGAATATTTTACACAGTTTATCTATTAGTTTTAAAAAAAGCAGTTGAAGTAGCGATTTACAGCTACGTTATGTTTTGATAATTGGTGATTTCTCAAAAACTGTGTTTTAACGAATGTTCTTTAGGCCACGGTATTTTGCTTTTCTATGTAAGATATACCATTATATTTCTTATTTCATCTAAAACATCGAATATTAGAGAAAATGATTAAATTTTGCATCATCACGCTAATAATACATATAAACAATTTATTACTAAGTGTTACGTGCCCATTGGAAATAGTAATACTCGTAGTTAGAGTACCTATTCTTTTATCTTTCATATAAATGTTTTTAATTGTATTTTATTTCATGATAAAAAGGTTGTTAGGCCAGGAGAACTATCCCTAATTTTACAACTATGATAATTTTAGTTGACCCCAATATTAATGACCTGTTCATTAACATTTTGCATTTTACATTCAGGTAACTAATACCACAGATAATATAATATTACATACTAATACTATTAAGAGTTCTGTAGTAGTACACTAGTAGATAATTATAATTACTCTTTTGCAAAAGAATATAGGGTATGGAAATATGGTATTGAACTATGATGGACAGGACGCCTTTTAATGGTATTTTAGGGATTACAATAATTGAAACACTGTGTAGACTTGTTGCTCGGTCGGCTTTTTCTCCTAAAAGGAAGATATAAAACAGGACCGTGCTTTTATTGAACATTACCATAGACAACAACATTTTGATAGGTATATATTTTTGAATACTTATCGATCTTTTTAATTAATTTTATATTATTTTTATATGGTAATGATATTGCAAGCTGATGGCTCGCCTGATGTTAAATGATCACCGTCACCAATACGGACATCACGTTATCATTCTACAGTTATAAGTCTCATATGTAGCCATTGTAGCCGTTTGGTGACTGAAATAGATGAGACTGAGGAATACACCGACGAACAATTCTAATTCATCAGAAATTACCTTCGAAAGTTGCCATTCCAGTAGTAAACCAACGATTAACAAAACGCCAAACCTGAACCTAAATAGACAAAACCTCAAAATAATGATAGGGACAACAACGGGCCACTGTTTGTTAAACAAACACTTGTAAACAATAGGTGCTACAGACAGTACCCATTTGTCGGGGCTGCTTTTAAGCCGATGAAACGGCCGCTCACGTACTCCAGGAGTGCGTAGCAGTGGTTGCTTCTGCAAGGAGCTTGGCTGGTTACTTTAGCAGCATCGGCAATACACGTACAACGGCCCAGACGAGAGGCTGATTGCGGAAATAGAGTCCAATTTACATTTTCATTCATATTATCGAATGTTTCTAGGGGACTGCGTGAAGTTCGTCCGACAGTTAATTGCTAGACTATGACAAACCTGCGCTGTCGTCATATAAAAGCACAAACAAGTTATCAACTGGGCAAATCATACCCGTTATGTAGGGCAGATGAGAAAAATGATGTGCAGTATCTAATCATTTACTATTCATTTACACTGTTAGTATGGGTTGATTAACACTTCCAGTTGTATCGAAATGGTTCAATTATAAAATTACAGTTACGCTAAATGAACCCAAATCAGTTCAGATCAAGATGTCCTTACTAATATAATAAAAGTAAAAGTTACTATATTATTATTTATGACGATTGAAAGTCAATAATATTACAAACTAATTTATTAATCGAATATAAGTTAAATAAAAAAAAGTTGTAAAATATGTTATTATAATAAAACAAATAAATATTTGCATAATTAGAATAAATTTTGATACATATTTATTTAGATACATTTTGTTTTTTAAATACATAATATACTTAGAAAATACCTTTTTTATCGTGTGGAAAACTAATACAAATAAACATACTCATGGATTCAAACGTTTGTATTATGCGAGGAATCAAACCGCGATAATCGGAAGAAATGCTAAACCAGTAGATCACCAAGGCCGTACGTTCTAACTTTTTGTAATCCTTTTCAGATTATAAAACTCAATTATCTATATCTATATGAGCTCATTAATATATTAATGCACATTAATTTATCAACAGAATGTTTGTAGCTAGCATATGCTTTGACTATTGTCTTTATGTCACAATTATCTCTATTCTAATAATTAATGTCAGTCTTTATCAGATTAGAGATAACTGAGATGTTGTTATTAGATCTTCTCAGTATTGATGAATAATGTAATGTATACGTAATAAACATATAGTTATAATTATTACGCAGTAAAAGTAACATAAAATTGTTTGAGTATAATAAGTAACCGATGTAATTTACAATAAAACTTATTCTATATCATATATACAGGTATACAAAAAGGTACCTTATAGGTACATTTTTTGTGTGCCTGTGTTGTATGTAGGACTCCATTTTCCGCAATCAGTCTCTTATTTTGGCCGTTGTTTTCAACTCGTAAAATGTTATATATATATACACACTCTCTCATTACGAGTTAATACTATAGACACATTATACTTTTCGAAAATAACTTGGACGAGGTTGTTCTGGGTTGTGTTGTTCACCCACCCTTTTTTTTATTTATTTCTAAATTTAGGGACTTTTGTAGCATCTAAGTACATGTCGTTAGTTACATTTTAAAAACGTATGATAGGCACATCCGTCAGGAATGCGAACAAAACCATTATTATAAGTAACTAACTACCTAGCCCATCATTTCGGTGCGTCTGTGCTTGTAAAATATAAATATTTTACATTTGCATTAGATTTTCATAATTTTAGACATTTTCTTTAATAAAATACTTTTTAAACAGAGAGAAATGTACTAAAATTATTCGTAATAATAATAACCCAAAAAAATCTATAGTTAAGTTATTATTCTTACAACAATAAACTAACAAAAAATACAGGTGTATCATTTAAGACTGCCTCCTTTTGCAGTTACAGTGATTTACTACTTCAAAACAAACTTATTATTCATATAGTATAATAATATGGGTAATTTTAGTACCTAAAACAGTCACATATGTATTCTCAACTTACGCAAATTGAATAAAAAAATGATTGACATATTGTCAAATCTAAAACAATAATATTAGCTATTTTTAATTTAAATAATAATTATGTACTTAAAGTACATAATTATTATTTATGAATGTATTTGAATATATGACATCTCTAGGTGTCAAATAGTAAAAATGATCTCGGTCCTGTCGTCTATTTGTTTCTCCGCTTACTCATATGACGCAGAGCGGATTTAGTTTCTAGTCATTTCTTCCTGACTAGATAGTCTATGTATACGGCCCATCTGATAGTAATTGGTTACTCTAGCCTATGGACGCCTGTGACGTGTGCGTTGCCGACCCTGACTTATTATAAGTGTCTCAAATAGACCGTGAATTATAGATATAATAAAACGATATTTTTATTTTGTTTCACTTTAAATATATTTATTTATCATCTAACCGTTCTTAAGGATATCCCTCAAGAACGGTTAGGTTAGAAAAGAGAAAACGGTTGCTATAGATTTCTTTACTTTCGTAACTTATCACTCGCCGATACCATAAGCCAGCATATGATTTATCTCATTATGTTTTATCTATGTAGGCCTAACTCGGTGCCTGCATCCATATATTTTCGCATCATTTATATATCATTCTATATTTTTTAGAATACTTCAATTAACATAACATACTAGTTATTCCCAGGACAATAATCAAATCACTTAAAATTAATACTATTTGTTTTGCGTAAATATCTTTCAATATTATGATATAAGAAAAGCTACATATAAATAGTTTAAATTTTTGAGAGGTTTTGTTGATTGATTTGAGAGGTTGAGGTTGATTATTATCCTGGAAATAACTAGTATGTTAATTTAATTATGCTAAAAAATATACATATAGTAAAACGTAACTGAATGTACATGCAACATATAGTAAATACTGTTACTGAAGTATATATTAAATCAACTTAATATAATGCAAAGCAACCATTATTAGAAATGTTTTTTCCTTGTCTGTATATTTATGGGCAGTAAACACATAAATAGCTTAACCGATTTGTGTGCGATTTTCACTAATGTATTGCGGTAAGATGGTCTTAAATTAAAATGTGGTATTATTTCATTCTAATTGATTGATGGACAAAATAGTTATAACAATATTATTATCCTTCCGAATAACACGGATATGAAGTCGCAAGCTCACCTAATTTAGAAAAACAATTATATTGTGTATATACTTACGTCATTAATAATGATTACAAAAAGTTAAAAATATTGCTAATGTTCTTTTCTTTATTTTGTAAAGGGCGCAAGTGCATTCTGAATAACATTTCCGGCACTTTCAATGCTGGGGAGCTGACAGTTATCATGGGACAGTCGGGCGCAGGCAAAAGCTCTCTCATGGACATCCTAGCGGGATATACGTAAGTAAATAATAAATTACATTATATTACATTTCGTTATGAACTATCTCGAACTTAGACTAGTAAATGTTCAAATCGGTCACCAAAAAAATTTTTTATGTCAAATTATTAATAGATTCGTAGATTTCTATTATGCCAGGTGTTGGAAACACCGATAACAAATAAAATATACTACAGACGATATTGGTAAGCGTACTACACTATTATGCAATCAAACGTAATAATACAATCAATGGTATGACGTCTATAATTCATAATGTCTCTAACTAAACAAAATTCATAATGTTGTGCAGTTGGGATACTGCACAACACTCGTAATGGTAAAATTATAATCATAATATGAGTTAGAAACATGTTTTAATTACACAAAACACATTAATCATTTTAAAACTAAGTATAAAACTAAAATGAATTAAAAAATATGGTCCGAAAAAGCCTTCAGATACAAATTATCATTTGTCTTCTCTATTTCATGGAACAGATATTAAATCTATTAAGCAATTTACATCATACACCAACATAGATATAGATAAAAACTAATAATATTATCTTTAGGATTATATATACACCACACACATTCACGTGTATGTGTTTCTATGGCAACTGCCTATAGGGGAGATAATCAATGATATAGATTTTGTACAAAATAGTATGTATGGGTACTTTTGACTCGCCTCTATTTCGACTATTAAATAAAAAGTAAGTGACAAGGATTAGTTACCGCATTATTAGCTACGTACCTACCATATCAGGTCTATCTCTACATATCTCTCTACCACCATGATGACGGGTATACTTTAAACAAAGTAAATTTACCCGTTGCCGAAATATCGGGAACTCAATAAAAATCAAACGCGGTAAGATCCCATGATTTACTAATTATACGTAGATATAATGACCGCGTCAAATTTAAAACAGTCTATCTCCAAGAGGGAATCCTTTGAAATCCTGATGGTTACGCTGAGATGGGCTACCTAACCTGACGTCATACTTATCCTATTAAAACCCCATTCCAAATTCATCCATTAAAAAAATAATACCCGTCTCTAACTACGAAATATTTTCCCGCTAGATTAACCTAGTATTTACATGGATGTGTTATTAAACATATTTGTTTAGTATTTATATATTTAACGGCCTCGGTGGTCTACTGGTTATACACACCGCTTATTTTCCGATGGTCACGGTTTCGATTTCTCGCACGATACAAACATTTGTATTCATGACTATGATTGTTTGTATCGGTCTGGGTGTTATATGTACGTATATGTATATTATATATGTATTTACAAAAAAAAGTATTTATTTCAGTCGTCCCATAACACAAACTCTGGTTAACTTGGGCTAGATGGCGCTATGTGAATTGACCAAGAATATTATTATTATAATATTTAATTAAAAAAGACACGGGTATAGGTATCTAATTTGTTTAAACATAAGCGGTGAAACCTATAGATTAATCGCATACTATATGTGCTCATTTATTAGCAGAATACTGAAAAGTTTAGTTTTAAGTAACTATCTATTTATATATAAGTATAATGATAAGTTTATTTACATCGTTGTCACCATTTATCGTTTATAATAACTATAAGCACGGTTAAGATAAAACAATATTTACTACTATTAAGTAGTAAATATTAATAAAGATTGCAATTTATAATATAAATAAAATCTATACATAATTTGCATCAGTTAAATTTAATTATTGCTCACTATTACTACCGTATGATTAGATTTTCATAGAAAGGATTACCAACCTTCATAGAATTATTAACCTCTTAAGGCCATAGTAATTTAACCGAATTTCATAGGTCAAAATCTGTTACAAAATTGAATGTGTACAAGAATGAAAGGATCCTCATACCAAAAGCCAAAATCTCGAATTTGTACTAGGATTATCTATCATCTACTTATTTAAAGATTAATTAAGGCTGTTTGCACACACCACTACGCGGACGATTGGAGTAGGTACAGTGGAAGTTTATACTGTAATAGATTCATTCATTCACTTACATCGGTTCTAATAAAAATAATAAAAAAAGTTGGCAAATATAATAATTTCATATCATAATTATGTGTAAATTATATTTTTTTACATTGACAATTTAAATAAATAAATGTTAGTCAAATTTAATGCTAAGTTTGCGGTGTTACCGTAATCGATACTAACCCTAAAAAGTGTACACAAATGTTTATCTGTTAATGCTATCTCTATGTTAGGTAGTATCTACGAGTATGTTATAGAATCAATATCATGCTATACTATGTCTATGTATATCTATATATATACATGTGTAGGTAACATCCATGATGACTAATAAAATACATCTATACTAATATTATAAATACGAAATATCCGTATGTTACCTTTTGGTGACTAAATGACTGAAATCGATGTACAACGAAGTTGGCCATGTCTATCAAACTCAAAAGAGTTAGAGAGTAAAAGTTAGTCCCGTGTTATTTTTCCAAAACTAATTAGTTAAATATTATTCTCCTCTTGTGGCTGAAGGACCCGTGATGCAGTGGTGCAGTTGCAGTGGGATGTCAGTGCGTGGTTATAGTATGGTGTATTGCAGTCTTTTTTTTTAATATGGTTGGTATGTCAAACTGACGTTCCACTTAATGGTATCCAAGTGGTCAATAAATGAATAGCATTGCAGACATCACTGTATCACGGGACGGCCGCAATACTACGCATATAGGTATACGTTGCCATTTCGAATGACTAACATGTCCTACTTCCGTACTCTGTATTTCATTACCATATCTCACTCGCCCAATTGAAATACAGCATACGAAGCATGCTGCTTTATAGCAGAAATAGATGGAACAGGTACCCACACAGACGATTTTGCACTAAGTGTACCTAAATATAAGTGTAAAAACCCTACCAAAATAATGATAATCGGCGTGTGATCCGATTAATTAAATATTCAATAACTTTAACAATGGAATATGTAGAACGCTATTGAACCCAAGTTCATACATTGAAGGCAAGGTCTGGGCTAGATTATGTTTATATTCTGTGAGAGCATTTAATTGACTTTTCGAATTGTGAATCTTATTCAGAATAATTTCAAAGATTTGAATAAATATTTGAAGACCTTTCACCACACATTTCGGCAAACAAGGTGTACTTCTCAGATGTTCTTTGTTTTTTTGTTCTCTCAATAAATATTTTAAAAATATAAGTGTAATACGCAATAATGACATACATACATCGTATCGTATACATATGGATTTTAAAACTGCTATTATAATTTTAAATTACTCTGTTAATTTCGACCGCAATAGAGCGCATTATACAAAAGTAATTATTTTAATTGTTTAAAGTATAATAACTAAATGTTATGAATACCATATACATTTAAATAAAAACTTAGATGCAATGTTCAACGATATCTATAAGATGCAACAAAGCCAAATTTGTAATTAACACAAATAAACAAAGAATAAACACAAAAATAATTATTATATTGTTCTAAATGCCTGCACTATGATCACTCTATACGTCACTCACAATTATACACAATATATCATTATTAGGTAACTACTGAAACAGTATACTCATACAAAATAAAGGCGAAGTGCATTCAACATTGTAAACACTTAAATGAATTTATATTATTTTTGATAGTTAGAAAACATTCACAATTTTTATTCTTATCTTGTCTACAAAATATATAACTGTCTAATACCTAAACTTTAAATATAATTTAAAAGATTAATCAAATAGTCACATTACTTTTATTGAATAAAATTTATCGTATATATATTATACTCTGGATTAATTCCCTCAGTGAATTTTAATATTCAAATAAAACGCAGAAATACGAATTCATTAGATACTACCGACTGACTTTTACAAACATTACCTGCGTGTAACACATTACGATCAAACAAAGCCATCCAGCATGTCGGTATCTGTATCAAGTTATATGTAACATTCTTAAATGATTTTATGATACAAAAGAGAAAGCTGAATGTGGATTTAATTTCGAAACACAAAACTCCTTTCCAAACAACATCTCCATATACCAAACTCTTTTAAATCTACTTTATTTGGCAATCATCCTAGTGACAGGACCATTGCCTGTGAAATTAATTTAATTTCACGTGAAACAAGTTTCTCTGGTACTACAAAGTTGAACTTGTTTTGCCTGTAATTCTGTTGATATCAGAACTTTCATGTTAACAAAACTATCTTCTTCCGATTCACGACAACGTTCTTGTTCTAAAATTATTTTCATTTAGAATGGACAAAACTAATAAATAAAAAAGATTTGAAAATTTCAATCCAATTAAAATTTAAATTCACCGACAACAGCCGAAACATAGAATAAACAATGCGAAAACAGCAAATAATGTAGAAATATAGGACAACATTTTTATTATCCATACATTAACATATATTCACTTCATTTTTGTCTATTATTTACTGATTGCTCTAATATCTACAGATATAAAAAAGGTTTAAAATATTTAAAAGAAAAGCCAGTAATACTTGTAGTCATAGTTAGTAATAACCCAACACGGTCAATGACTCTTACAAACTTTATATCGCATAACTTGATATAATAGAATTTAAATAGTTTGTTAACACATAGGAGCTAACACGCTATATGAATGCAAAAATTATTCAAAATGTTTATTAGGCCATATCTACACTGAGTAAAACTTTTAATATTTTAAATATGTATTTATTTTATTTATTCATAAACAATTTTAATTGTGTTTGAAGTATTAAAATTAAGGATACATTTTCATTTATTATAAAGTAATGATAAACAATGACAAACCTAACTTAAAAAAATGTCAATTTACAATTTTTTTTATATTTTTAACATATAAGACCACAACAAATTAGTCCACAGATAAAAATTCATTTATATCCTAATTCAAGATATGTACTATGTACCATGTCAGCTCGACTTCGACGTGGTATCATGGTAGGTGAACTAACTAACATGACTTCATGCTCATCCTATCATGGATCACTGGTACCCCACCAGGATGTCCCGTTAGCACTGGCGATTAAAAATCATCCTATCATGGATCCAGTGATCCATGATGTTGATTCAGTTCCAGTGTCCACGCTAACGGGACTTGCTGGCAGGGCTGGTACCCCGCCAGCATGTCCCGTTAGCGCTGGCGATTCATAATCATCCTATCATGGATCACTGGTACCCCGCCAGCATGTCCCGTTAGCGCTGGCGATTCATAATCATCCTATCATGGATCACTGGTACCCCGCCAGGATGTCCCATTAGCGCTGGCGATTCATGGTCATCGTATCATGGAAGACTGGTACTCCGCCAGGATGTCCCGTTACCGCTGGCGATTCATGGTCTTCGTGTCATGGACGACTGGTACCCCGCCAGGGTATCCCGTTAACGCTGGCGATTGCGGTATTCTATAATCATCCAATAAATCCAAAAATATGTATCTACGACAATATTATGGAGTATTAGAGCTCCACAACTTAGTTTTTTATGGAGAAATAGCGACTTTGTGTGTACACATACCCTTACATGTATTAGAACATACTGTCCATCAACATTATTTATCAAAAGTGTAAAGTCCAATCACAGTACTATTTTATTCCATTGTTATACAGTCTCGCAAGTACAGTTGCTTGCACCAATATAGTAAACACTTTTGTACTTGCAACAAAGAGATCATTGAGGTAATATTTAATAATGTTTGGAATATACATAATATAACTATGACAAAGTACTAAAGTGTTTACGTTACATTGCACGTGGCTGTGTTTCTTTGTCTTAAATATGACTTACATTCAGTAATTTATGATATTGCATCCTATTGTAGATATAAATTAATTTCTATTAACTCTACAAACTTCTTTGATACATAATGGCTATATAGACAGTATACTATAAAGATCTTTAAAAACAAAATTTAAACCATATTAACTAAATTATTTTTGACTTAAATTAGTTATGTTAGTTAAACCGTGTTATATTACTTTAAAACTTTTAAAAAATATTTATAAAATTTTCAAGTTAATGCATCAACATATTATAAAGTTCTGCGGACACAAACATACGGAAACTGTTATTTTTATATATACATATTATCATAACATGTAATAAGGAAACATGCCTGAGGTATGGTAGCAATGGCATCACCGTTGACAAGACCATTCTGGAATCTATATTAATCTAAAAGTCAAACAGTTAAGTGGAAGTATCAACTACTGGAATACCTATGCACAATAAGGTATGTCCTTATACATGTTTTGTACAGACAAAATGATTTTTCAAAACTAGATACAACAATACAAAATAACAAACCGCCCCCGGCCCCGGTGGTCTAGTGGTCCAGCTCACTGCTTTACACCGATGGTCGCTGGTCGATTCCTAGCATAGTACAAAAAATTGTATTCACAAGTATATTGTATTATTTGTATCGATCTGGGTGGTTTCTATGGATATTCTGTACGTATGTATTTTACAAATAAATATATGTAAGTATTTATATACCGTCACGGCTGTTACATCACATACACATACCATCACAGAGGGCTAGGGGTAGCCAGAGGGCATTGTCAACTATCCATGTTATAGTAAACGCAACAATGGGCATGTCCATATATGTATTTGAACCCAACGTGACAGGAGGCGAGCCTTTCGCATCTCTCAGCCTCTTATTCAATATTTCCTTCGCTGATGTATCGGTCAACAATATTAATTTATATAAAATTATACAAAATACAAACCAATTATTGTATTATTTAATTGTAATGACCTATAGGCTACTATAGTATATAATACACCAGCCTTATCGGATTATTGAACCATAATAACCAATAATCAGTCAACAATACATCAGCCTCACTACATAAAAGAACTCTCTTCTCTGACACTGTACTGTGCTGTGCTTTGTTTCACTTATAGCCCAAGAGCCCACGACGGCCAATCATACGTCTTATTAGTAAACGTGAAAGTTCTTGTATGTATGTCCCCAACACAGGTAGGAACAATCCCCAAACATGAAACCTGGATCGTGGTTCCTTTGGAAGGTAACAGGTAACAAAGGTTTAAAAAATTTCATATCAAATTCGTTATTTTAAGAAACTCCATTTTTTCGTATATTGTTCGTAGCAGTATTATAACTTGCGCTGCTTATTGCCAGACAGAAAATTTTGGGGACACACACACATAAGACGTATGTCAAGAACTATTATGGATAAGAAAAATAAGTGATAACACGTTTCTTACTTCGTTACCACATGGAAAATCATGTCCAATTTTTATTTCTACATAAAATAAAGGTTTTATACTAACTAGATAATACATACATTCACAATGACGATGGAATAGAAATATGTTCTCGTTATAGAAACTGTAACGATAACGATATACGGTTGTCATCAGTGGAGGATGACAGGACAACAATGAAGTCGGCCCTCGAATTTACCAGGTATTCATGCTCTTCCATACCAAGATACTTCTGCAGATATTATGGAAACCATTAGCATTGAAAAAAAGGACGAAATTGATTTAACAAAATTGGTATTGGTATGAACACTAACATTAAAAAAAAACGTAACTTGTACATATTTAAAGTATAGGAGAGAGGATTTCAACCTATAGATAGTTAAGCTTCGTTAATAAAATTTTGTTTAAGAGATATAATATAACTGTTTTTGTATTAAGATAAGATTAAAACTAAAACAACTTAAAACCCAGAATAATTTCATATCAAGTTTTAGGTATCTCTTATTATACTTAGCTGCTCTCAGGAATTTAGAACACGAGGAAATATTCATTCGTGGCCTCAACTAGTTACCTTCCAGTATGAGTTACATTATGGCACGCAACACGTTCATGTAAACGCTAGTTATTTCTCGCTGGTTTGTTTGCATAAACCCATTCTCTTCCGTTCGTGCTGAAATTTCCATGGCAATATACAAAAAATGCATTACCTCGCTTTGCCTAAGTGAATTAGATTTATAATACAGTATATTTTGTTCTGAAACATTATCAAACCTGTACACAATTTTTACATAAATTAGTCAATCATTCAAGCGTGTTTGTATAACAATCGTCTAAATATCCTAACAATCTTTAATTGCATATTAAGTAGTATAACAATTAAAATTACTGTTGCATAAATGTTTATTTACTAAAATAAGAAAATTTTCAATCAGATCAATAAATTTAGAACAATTCAAACTATTATAATTCCTAATTTCAGTTCCCTAAGGAATTATTCAATCTAAAATATAAGTGTTACGTTACGTGTAACAAAAAGTTTTAAATTTCAAATTTTAAAAGGAAGTTACTGTGTCTAAATCTTTTTTAAAACATTGTGTATTTTAATTTTAATTTTTTCATAAGGTTAAAGTTTCTATAACCGACTGCTTTTTGTATAAATTATAAATTATATTATTTATACATAATATATTCTCTAATTCTGTATTCTATAACTCCCTTGTTGGTTCCATACTATTTCATCATGATTAAAGTTGGTTTTTAGCGAAAAATACGTTTATACCATCAGTGTTGCATTAACAATAAGTAAAACTGCTCGTATCTATATCATAGCTAAACGATATCACGCATCATATAAATCGATGAACCAAAACATACGCAGAGATAATATAATTTTATCATAAAGTATCCGCAGATATTAAACTTACCGACAAATTCTGTCAATTATAAATTCAACGTGAAAATGAGATACAAGTAATACTATAGAATAGAAATAATTTTTATTTAAATTTGCGTACTTTTAAATAGTTACCTTTTTTTCGGTCTACCATCTGACTGCTACGATGGTATAGCGGTTTAGCACACCGCCTTATGATGTCGCGGGTACGATTCCTCGCACGATGCAAAAATTTGTACTCATAAATAAGATTATTTATACAGTCTGGATATTTTCTATGTATAATATATACGTATTTAAAAATTATATCTAATCCAGTACCCACAACACAAGCTCTGTACCGAGGGACTAGATAGCGCTGTGTTAATTGTCCAGGGGTTAGTTATTTATTTATTTAAATATATATTGACAATACAGTTCCAGACAAGAAGAATGAGCAAGAAACTTGCCTGTTGCTCATTATAACAAGTGTTGTTACATTTTTAAAAATGTTAAAATTATGTATGACAATTCATATATATATGAATTCATTAGAGTGAAAAGGTTAAACATTTAACATATATATTTAGTAAATGTAGGCATATATTGTTATGTATCTATATGTTACTAATGTTATAATCGTAATGTAATCAGTTAGTTTAAATAATCCACGTTGAAATATATGTATACAAGATAAGAGGCGGTAAACTGAGATAGTGATAACGTCACAACCCAAAATATTTAAAGAATTACCGCGCGAATTTATCATATAGCCTCTTATGTCTTTCTCAATTATGATAAACTAGTTGACTGCCGTAACCCCGTTTATGTCAGATTAAAGAGAGAGAGGGTTGAAAGTTTCAACAATTTTCTCAGTTTTAGCAAAGCAAAAGCTGCATCTTCAAAGCTTCTCTCTTCTTCTCTTTTTACATAGTAGGCCGACGAATAAAATTAAATTCTTCTATCCAAAACTATAATAAATTTTCAATTCGAACTAGTAGTTGCTGAGATTAGCACGCTCAAATAAACAAACTTATTTATAATATTAGTATACTCGTAGATAACACGTTAGGTATGGTAAACACTGCGATTATTAGACACGTCTACTATTAGACATTAGTGCTGCATAAGTAAATATTTAAGAATAGATTTTATACTAAGGAAATTACCATTTTTTTTCTATAAATATAACTGTTATTTGCAAACAAAAATCGGCGCTCAAGATGGCATTAAATATCATCAATAATATATGAGAGATTATTATCAAATAGAATGCATTCATTATACAGTCTACACGTATAACATTGATACAAAAGGTGTTACACTAAAATCTATTACCTAATAATTGTACAATTTTTACAGGAAGCCTACAAGTGGTAATTTATACGTGAATGGCCAACTGCGCAACGAGGACTCTTTCCGACGAAGATCCTGCTATATCCTGCAGGAGGATCAGGTCCAGGACATGCTGACGATATACGAGTCACTCACAATTGCCGCTGAACTTAAATTAGGAAATCATGTCACAAAAGAGCAGAAGAAAAAGAGGGTATGTAATTTTAAAAGTAATTATGAGTAGATACATATATTAGTTTTTACCGGTGGCTTCTATTATGGACACATGGAATGATAATAGTGGAAATGATCTTTCGCCTCCTGTCCAAATAAATAAACTCATAAAACACCACTATGCCACAATAACAAATGTCATCGTATGGGCCTCAACATACTGTTCCGTAAAATGGTGAATAAAAAATACAGAAAATTTCTAAGTGTGATACAAGTCATATTCGTCTATGAGGACATGTTTTATATGTAGCACCTGTAAGAAGACAAAGGTTGTTTTGATGATTATTAATTATTTTCTGTAAGAAGTATGTAGTGACTCTGTCGAAACTGTGATATTTTTGTTACAAGTTACAAGCTTGTAATCATATACCTACAAAATTTAACATTACGGCTCCAGAATATTTGGTAACAATGGTTATTAATTATTTGCCCATTGCAGATAGATGAAATAATTACGTCACTCAGTCTTGAACGTGCACAAAACACTAGAGCTGGTGATTTATCTGGAGGACAGAAGAAAAGGCTGGCTATAGGACTGGAGTTGATTAGTGATCCACCAATCATGTTTTTAGACGAACCCACTAGGTATGTCATTTATATTAAGTATTATTATATATATTTTTATGAATTAAAATCACAAATTAGATATACATATATCAATAGCACTGTAGTCCTCATTGTGATCATGTGACCGTATACACCTCTTGCAATGAAATATTTGAGGGCTAAAACATTAAGCCTCTGAACTTAAGAATTTCACTGTCATATCTCACCCTTCAATATAGACGGTGATTTAAATATAAATTATAAATATAATCGTAGTAGTAGTATAAAAAAAATCATAAAAACACACCAGTCACTAGATTGTTTTAGTGTAATATATTTCTTAGCAAAATTTCAATTTCGAGCTTCGTCTGCCATACCGGAACAAATGTAAAAAATCTATCTGTATTCCATTTAATATCAAATACGGGTATCATTTGATATTAAATGGAATACAGATGTGCCATATTTTTAGTAAATTATTATAAATAATCATCGTGACGAATTCTAAAAAAAAAGTACTGCGATAATATCTAGGAAAGATTGCGTGGAGGTCGCCCTGATAACGTACATATTTTGGAGGGAGCCATCCAGAGGGGACAAATTAGGATTGGATTCACTCCTTTCTGTTTTTTTTTTACTACAATGGTGGCAACCAAGCCAATTCATAACTTAAACTACCAATTTAATAACCACGCCCATATTTAAAATTAATATTAAGTAAACGTATTCTAAATTAAATATTAAAAAAAATTAAACATTGTCATCATTATTCTCTCATTAATCATTATCAATAGCTCAGGTTATAGAACCATTTCACTGCACCAATCGACTTTGTAAAATACTGCAAGTCGTTACTTCATTCTAATTCAGGCATTCTTGTGTGAAAGTGATTTTTAGTACCGAGGACTTTTTTAGTGTATAATAAGCAAGAGCGGCTGAATGTTCATTTATGAAATAAAAATACAGCGCGTTCTTAGTTTTTTCCCTGCAAAGGGTCGTACTACAGAATGTTATTTAAATAATCACAACTATTACCTATTGAAATCCAACGGGGACATCAAATACTATCCTATATATCGACTCATATATATCGACTTAAGCCTTTTTATTGTCCACATAATTAGTGTCTGTATGGTGATAAGATGAGATAAACAATGATTCATCAACCTACAATACTGATAACTCGTAGCCGCTACTAAATAAAATACAAAAAACTGATGTACACATACGTAACCAATGTTGTATTTGATGACAGATAAAGTGCACCTGGATAGAATTAATTATTATTATCTCTGAATTGAATATTAATTTTGTTTAAACTAGATAAAAGTTTTCCGCTACACTAGATTGATACTTATAATGATGTATGGAGCGGCTAATTATCGAAGGTTCAGTTGAGGGCAAACGCCCTCGGGGTCGATCACTAACGCGATGGACTGACCTTATAAAAAAGCCTACAAAGCATTGTACAATGTTATCGTACAGGCAAAAACCGTACCAGATATAGACAAATTGCGAGGACCTCTACGAAGAAATACCGTCATAAAAGCCACGATCACTCTGACATGAGTGAACGACTAAAGAAGAAGAAATTTGATAAATCAATGTTTAGTTCCAACTGGAAATCATCATCATTAATTACTACTGTATTCACCATAGTGTGCTAACTGATTTAAAGTGATTCTGCAAAGATATCTCTCATGGATGATTATAAAATAAATATGATCTTCCCTATCAGTGGAAGATCATATTTATTTTATATTCATCCATCATAAAAAATACGTATTGTAACCAAAAACAAAAAGTTGTGAGAATCCACGAGTATATATTAGTTCAGTATGCAACATTCAATGAATATAAATAGTAACTTAATATAGATATAATTATGATTTGTAAGATAATTGCTTCAATCTAAACGTATCTGTAATAATTGATTAAGTGATGGCACAAAATTGATTGAACGAGTCGATGTCTGAGCTTGATGCGGATATATATTTCCTATCTACATAATAAATGGAAAGATAGATGCTCTGTATAACATGTATTATTATATTTACAAAGCAAAAAGAGTTTAATTATTCCAGTTTTATATAAGGATTTTTTTTTAATAGGTTCCTTAGGAAAAACGTAGACCAATACTTATTTACTAAACGGAATGTATTCGACCCCTACTAGGTCACGAACTGACATTGCTTTGTCTCTAAAGTTAAAGATTAATATATAAGATAAAGTATTGTTAATGAGTAGATAAGGTTTGTCGGTTTGTCACCATTTGCAGCTGTAGTTAATGATAACGTCTCCATTGAACAATGAATAAAAACCTAAATAATTTTGTGCAATAATAGTATTATATATGTAATAAACGATGATTTATTTATATTCTAATTATCAGATCTTATTTAACATCTGTTTAATAATTACTACAGCTAGATTGTAAAAAGTTGTCTGCGCAGCAACCTCAACTATTTCAGCTTTGCTTTTTAGGCTGTGTTAGGGTAAGATTAGGGAGTTAAATTCGATTCCTCGCATGGCACAAACATTTGTATTCATGAGTATGATTGTTTGTATAAGTCTGGGTATTTTCTATGTGTAGTATGTATGTATTTACGAAAAATAAATAATATCTATGTATTTGTATCAATGATTTAGTACCCATAACACAAGCTTTAGCTAGCTTAACTTGGGTCTAGATGGCGCTTTGTGAATTGTCCTGAGATTATTATTATTACTATTATATATAAATAACTTGAATAATTCTTTTATATTTTCAGTGGCCTCGATATCTCAATATCAAAACAAATATTATACCTGCTACATCTTCTGGCCAGGCAGGGAAGAACGGTGGTAATCACCATGCACCAGCCATCTGCCACTCTCTTACGTATGGTCGACCGACTATATACCGTGATAGCTGGCAGGTGTGCCTACACGGGTTCAGTAGACTCACTAATTCCGTACCTAGAACAAATGAATTTAAGGTGTCCGCCATATCATAATCCTGTGGATTTTCGTAAGTATATGTTTAACAACAAATAATTATTATATCCATACAATTATTATAAAAACTACATCTGTCTGCCTGTTTTTGCCTTTTAACGCCTAAACGGCCTAATAAATCGTTTGCATAAATAATAATACAGACGAACTCGCGTATAACTAGTAATAAATAAATCAAACTTAAAAAGTGACTTTTATCATTTGTCTAACATCTTTAAATAATAACATAAATAGGTAACTAGACAATATCTATTTATTCGTAATAAATAACACAATAGCTATATAAAATAAACAGCTATATAGTTTAATTGTCTAACATGTCATGTTAAGTGACCATTCATTTGTTTGTTTCAGTTATCGAAATATGTGCAGAAAATGCAAATAAATTAGTAGAAGCTTCACAAAATGGAAATAATAACGAATGGAACATTAATAATAAGACTGAAAATAATCTTAAAGGTATACCAAATTAATTTATTAATAAATCAAATAAAGCTATTTGTTTATACGTACGTATCTACCAAATAAAAATCATTAGCAACTACACTGAGGAAAAATGAAAAACTGACTACCAAATTTTAGTAATAAATCCCAATATCATCAGCTTCTTCATCAGCATTATTTATTTTTTTATAAATATTCATGTTTATTTCTAAGGTTTGATAAATTCTAGAATAATGCAACTAATTTAATTGAATCAGTGTAACAGTACTTTCCTTGTAGTATCCTATATACCTTGCTTTAAAAAATACACTAATATAGCGGTTTATTTAATTTAATAATAAGCGATTAATATTTTCAGAATCAATAAGGAGCGATGAGGTGTTTCTAACCACTTTGCCTTCGCCAAAGGAAGATCCCACCAACAAAATACTATTAGCTTTAAAAAGTACATATTCAACATCGTATTGGAAACAATTCACCACATTAACTAGAAGATCCATATTGGTAATTTTTTTATAATTTTTAGTTCATATTCCATATCTTAAGGACATGGTTAAGCAAAACCAGTTTCCTTTATATATAATACTTAAAACTGTCAAACCAGTCCGTTTAATTGCGAATCAATACATTTATTATGGGTAGATTAGCATTTAGTAAGGTATAGCGCAATTTTATAAAACGGTACCGGCAATTACTGTATCTACTATATGTACATTAAGATTTGAAACGAATTTAAACATTTCTAAAAATATGAAAAATTATCACAACACGGTACATTTCAAAAATTTGTATATACGAGTTGGAATGAGTAACTATCGACAACCTTTTATTTCTATACAATTGTAGTCATATGTAAATTTAGTAAAGTTTTGATATATATAAACATGTAGTCCAAAAATATCATTAAGAAATATTTGTATCGTTCCTCGTTTTCTTTATACAGTATAATAGTTTCATTAATTTCAACTTTTTACTATTTATCTTTCAGTCTCTATGGCGAAATCCAGTGTTCACAATCATAATAAGTGGAATACATTGTTCAATGGCATTATTTGTGGGTTTGCTCTTCTATAACATTGGCGGTGACGCCAAATACATAAGAGACAACTTCAGCATGCTCAATTACTCCCTTATGTTCCTTATGTTCACTGCCTTCAGTGCTGTTACTATTACCTGTAAGTAAACTAAGACAATTTTATATATTTTCAATTTTATTGATAATTTCAAGAATATAAAAATATTACAACATACCTTGAGATTAATTTAAAGCACGCGTTATATAAATCGTCTGCATGGATACATCATTACTTTAAATAACTTCGTCTAATTTTCTGTAATAATATTAAATCATTATCAATATTAAGTACATTTTTATATCAATTTACGCAATTTATTATTCCTTAGCTATGCATCATCAAAAAGTTTTCTTAAAGAATACATTTATTATTTCAGTCCCTGTACAAATACCAGTGATCAGACGAGAACATTTTAATCGCTGGTACTCCACCAGCGCGTACTTCATCTCCACGTTGATATCAACGCTGCCCACCCAAACTGTATGCACACTGACCTATGCATGTATTGCATACTGGCTCACCGGCCAACCAGTAGAAATAAAGAGGTTCCTCACATTCTCTTGGACTCTTCTAATGGTGTCGTATGTTGCTGTTTGCATTGGTCTACTCAACGGTGCTATGTTTAATGTTAAGGTAATTATACATACTTATAAAGCAGAAAAGAAAACAGAGGAAATAATCTTTTATTTCAGATTCCTTTTGATAGTCTAACATAAAAGTCAAAAAAGGATTATGTACGAAATAATCAATCGTACGTAACAGATGCATCTTTTAATTGATTCTATTCAAACTGTAGCTCTAAAATTCTGTCTGCATATTATTAGCTTTACATGACCAAACTGCTGTTATAAAACACTATTCCGTATTGTTAAATTTGATGTTTAAATACTAGTTTATTTAAAAATACTATAAATCCTCAACAAAAACATTTATCATCTAAACTAAATTCAATTCTTTGAATTAAGATTGTATTTTGTATTCTGGATAGCTAGGTTCTCTATTGTACAACTTCACTTATATAATTTGTCGTTTAATATTTCAGAATGGTGTAGTCTTCGGCCCTTTCTTCATAATGCCATTCACAATCTTCTCTGGCTTCTTTCTTCGATACAGCGACGCACCATTTTACTTCAGGTGGCTGTTCCACATTTCATTTCTAAAACACGGCCTAGTAGGTTTAATCTTTGCTATATATGGTATGGATCGCGAGAAACTCCCGTGCTCCGATATATACTGCCACTTTACAATACCCAAACAGTTCATAACTGAAATGGAATTAGCAACTGAGAGTTATACATTCGTAGTATTACCATTACTTGCTATTGGAGTGTGTGTTTTTTTATGTTCATATGTTATATTAAGAATTCGGCTCAAGAGTAAATGGTGAGTTTAGTTAATTTAACAATATACGAAATATTGCCCTAATTCTTGTGTCAATTTGACAGTGCAAAAGTTATTTTAATCTTATATTGTAATGTGTATAGTTCAATGTTAGTATAAACGAGCAACAGTAATTTTCAGAAGACTAAAAGAAGTTTTCGTTATAAAGATACTGGCCTTTTTAATACTAATGGCCATAAAGTCATTAAAAAAATTGTAATTAGTACGGGTGTATTTTATAAATCGAAACAATTTAGTCTGAAATTAAAAATACTTAATTTTTACACAAAAACCAAAACGCATAGTTTTAATTAGCTAGTCAAAATGTTGCTAATATTTGAGTAACTACAATAAAGGCCAATAAATATTAATTCTAATATAGGTATAAATTAATTCCAAATCTTGATGTTGGTACTTATGATTTAGTTCAGTTTGTACTTATGATAGAAATAGATACAACTAATTAAATAACTGTATAGAACATAAATATTATTACATTAATGTCATGAACAATATTATATTAGGATAGATATAGTAGATACATATTAGAAGGGTATAAAGTACAATAAGAAATATTAGAAATGTTATTTACTATATTTGATTTAGATTTTACATATACTAGAGACCAGTCAATTTACTTTATGGATGCTATTTATATGTACTTACCAATTTTCACTTTCATTTCCATTGGATCTAAATGTAGTTGTAAATATGAAATTTATAGAGATTTAGGTTGATTGTAAAGATTAAGAAGACAGAAAGACAAAGATGTTTGTCACGAATTCCGGTGCCAGAGAAGTCAATATAGTGGTATATCAACTAAATTTATAGGACAGGTTTCAAAACAAGTTATAACAATTAGATACTAGCCTACATGGATTCTTTTTTCAATTACTACTTCAATTTATATTGAAAAATAATGAAAAGGATATTTTCAAAAGCTGGATGTTAATTTTAAGCACCTCAGTAAAAACAGTATTCGAAACATGTGCATCAAATTAGAACGAGTCTTAATTTATAATTGTAATTGGTACTCCCACCAGAATTGCGACACTTGTGTCTTAATTCTTACTCTTAAAGAGACACTGAATATTTCTGCCAAACAACTATTCAAAGTGTACAAAAATTAAAAAATATTTAGTGTAAATTATAGATATTGAACTGTACCTATAATAATAGTTTTTATTGTAAAAATGCAAATAGATACATATTTGTATTTAAGCATTAAACTGTGATGTAGAACATTATACAATAATTTTAATCTAGAGTAAGTAAGGAACAATTAAACCTGAACTCTGAAACTAAATAAAGAAGAAGTATAAAATTGAGTTATCTTACATTGATTATAAGACTTTGTGTAATAGGATAATAGCCCGTTTTCCAAGATATATAACTTATTAATGGGTAAACAAAATATATTATATGTTCTTTTTGTGCCGTACATAAAATTCTGATTCAATAATCATGAAACAGTTATTTTCTACTATAGTGTTCACCAAAAACCAGTAAACATATTCTAAATTCGAAATAAAAAATTACGTGACAAAATTAAAAATATAGATAAATTATGATAGTTACGAATATTTTGAATTGCCTTTTCTGACAATTGTAATGACACGTCTGAGCCATATTTCTAAAATTATTTTAACTTTCAGCGTTAATATATACCCACCTAATCACTAATGCAATTGGGGACAAATAATTACCGATCTACATAGACTTGGGTGCCTTAATTTTTATAATGAGACATAATTTTGAGACAGACGTAGTTTTGATATTTACATAAGTCAGTTGGCGTAAGTTTACGACAGCCAATGTATATTTCATAATTTTGTAATGTTATAAAATAGAGTGTATTATATATTTCTGTTATAGTGATGATATTTCTTTGCTATTTTCATAATAATAAATGTTCTTTAAAAAGTATCGTTGCTAACTCAACTCAACTTAACTAATTTTACAGATTTTATTTTATGTAAACTTGCTTACTGTACATATAGATAAATTTACTAACCCTTGATCACTCGTGCTGTCAACACCTCAGAGATATTCGAGTATAAAAAGGGATGATAATACCTTCCACGTATACTTTACATACTATATATAAGACAAATTAATAATAGAGTGTTCTAGGTGTTAAAAAACTGCAAAAGTGGTCACGGGTTAAGCGGACCATGCCCCTTATCTCCTTATAAGTTCTTATTATTCCGTGTACTCATGTTTGTACATTGTACATATTCTTTCCTTAAAATAAACTCATTCATTGGCACGTGTATGGTGCTACAATAACTTACTTATATCACAATAGTGAATTTATAATCACAATATTAAGAATATTTTAATAACTTTTACAACATGTATAGTGATAAATTCTTAATCTACTTGTACAAAAATAGAGAGTCGGAATAGTATTTTTTTTTTGTGATCAAATATTTGGACGTGTTATATACTAATAACTTTCTTATAGAAAAAAATTGTTACAGAAATTATCATATCAAATTATATTGCAATATATGTATTTATTTCACGTAACTTAATGTTAACCTAACCTAATATAGGCCCATATTTTATATACCTTAAGGACTAATATATATAGGAAATAATAAGACTCAAATGAAATATGAATATGTATTATACATATTCATATTTCATTTGAGTCTTATATATATATAAGCACACAACCATTATTAAAATAGATTTTTTAATTTTAATAATATGACACTTATTATATTATAAATATTATATTACAACGCTTCATAGTAAAACAAACTGTAAATAATTTAACATTTTAAATAGTCATCAATTGCCATTTTATTATAATAAAATATGACGAAATACGTGAAATTGAATTTAATAAGTTAATTAGTTATGAAATGACAATTTTAGATAGTAATTAAAGTAAAACAAGGCCACCAGATTATAATGACTATTGATTGTCATGCTAACTTACTTGGAAATACTAGTTGATTTTTATTATTTGAATACATTTATTTGCCTGCGCTAACTGTACATGCTGGCAAGACTAGTACAGGTGAGTCTCAATAAGGTGACTAAGAGATCAGCTCAGTTAGCCCATCGTAACGAATTCATCAGGAAACCACGATGGTTTCCAATGGATGGATGGAGGATAATGTGTAGCTCGACCTGACTCGACCTAGTATATTGCTAATAATAGAGTCACTGGTTTCCATTATCAACAACTCTCCCCCCCCCCATTAGTGTAGATAATAATTGAATACTTATGCGACATTAAATATCAAATCCTCTGAGTTAGATATGATATGCATGACAACGATTGGCGTTGTATTCATTTTCATAGCAGACTTGCTGTTACCCGTGACTTGGTCTGCGTGGATTTGCTTTTTTACTAATTTTTTTAAAATAAAAGTAGCTTAAGTTACTTCAACACTTACTTACGTTAAAACTTTGCTCTACCAGTGCAGTGAGTGACAATCCCGTCAAATCGATCCACCGATTCAGAGATTAGCAAAAACAAACAGACAGTCAAAAATGTATTAAATTATATTTTTGATGTAAGTACCGTATATATATACTATCATATGCATTTAATGAAAAACTGTTTATTAGAAATTGGGAACAGATACTTCAATTTAATTTATTCATATAGTTTACTAATAGGTATACAACCGTATAAAGTTAAGATCAAATAATTGGTATGAATTTGTGAATGATAATATCTGTAATTTACCTACTGTAATAAATTATATTCTAGTAACAAAATCACAAATGACTGATTTTGACATGTATAGAATAATTTCAATTAGAAAAATTATAGTCTTCTCATAATTATAATAAAATTAAGAAGGTCTATCACGAATTTTACCAAAGTCTTGCCGTTGTGTATAATATAATTGGCTCATATATAATTACTTAAATATGTATGGTAATCATTGCTTTGGCATGTTATTTCGTCATTTAAGAATGATTGTAAAATCTAGTATAATGGAATAAATAATATATACATTTTTAATTATTTACTATGTTATTTTATTTTTAATTACACTTATTTGCCATATATATATATTTCAAATTATCAATTAATATGATAGTATAAATATTTGACGGCCTCAATGGTCAGAAGTTCAGCATCGGAAGTAAGGCTACACCTTACTTCTGATGATCGCGGGTTCGATTCCTCGCACGGCACAAACATTTGTATTCATGAGTAATATTGTTTGTATTGGTTTGCTTGTATTTTATGTATAATATATATGTATTTACGAAAAAAAATCAGTTATCTAGTACCCATAACACATACTTTAGCATTGTCCAGAGACAATTATTATTATTATGTTATAATAAAATGAATTCTGAAAAAAATATTTAGTAGACTATATTTTAAATTAATTAATTTTGTTTCACAACTGGCAGCTTCTGCTTCTTTGAGTGGTATAATACCAGTTACGATCAATAATATTCTACTTTTCAGGGATAATATTATTATGATACTTATGTATAGCAAAAAATATATAATAATATAGAAATAATCTTTAGTGAAACTTAATATAAACATTTTTAATAGTCGTAATCATTTATTCTACTACTAAATCGATAAACAGCCTCATCGCAATAACGGGCAAAAAACTTGCGTGACACTCGTTCAAATAAATCTTACTATAAACGCGAAAGTATGTGAGTATGGATGGACGTTTGTTACTCTTACACGCAAAAACTACTGAACAGATTTTGATGAAACTTTACAGTAATATAGGCTATGATTTAAAGGGATATTATGGGTGAAATATAATGATAAATGTCAAGTGACGCAGACGAAGTTGCGTGGGTCAGCTAGTATTACATAAAATAAAAAAATTTAATTAATTACATTGAATGACAAAAGAATGGTGAGATGTATTAGAATAAATTATCAGTAGATAAAATATGCGTTTTTAATCTGTAAATAATCTTACTTAATCGTAGTTACTCATGTAATAAATAATGATATTTTACTGTATATTTATTGCTTTATATCACAAAATATTTAAATATATTTTTTATTATCAATAACAAATAATAAATTAATGATTGTTTTTTATATTAATCTTACATAATACGCATTGTTTTTAATAGAAAACTATTTAAAACAATACGTAATATATTGAAGTTAATTAAAATTTTACAATAATAATCATATTAATGTATTATAAACAAATATCTTGTCTCTAGGTTCAGTTAACTTTGCTATACGTTTCCACACATTTACACACTTATATGTTCCAAGTTCAATTCTCGCTCCAATGGTAGTAGATTCCAACTAGTCTTAACTCGACAGCTGCCTAATATAACTCTCTACAAGTCACAAGAAGGTTATGAATTGTATTCAAGTAATCATTCAATATTAGATACGAAAATAAAAGCTGCAAATTATTAATTTGCATACAAGGGTGCTGAGAAGACCCGCGTTGTTGGCAGGGCAGACGGGTAAACTGGGAAGAGTATCTCTAACTTGCAGCAATGAGTAGGATTTACTCACGGATACAGGGTTTACATCACTGAGGTAGCGATAGAATACCTGAGGAGTATGACAAGAACTAATACCGTAGTGGTTTTATCCGTGATGCAGGCAGTTCTAATATTAAATATTTCCCCACGTAAAAAAAAGCGATGACAGTATAGTAGTAGTATAGTCCGCTAAGTAGTTACTGAAAACCATTGAAAGTGCTTAATGAGCCCTTAAAGGCTTCTTATGATTATTATATACAACATGACCCAACAAAAAATTCACATCAATCATAGTAGATTAGTTAATATGAACATTGTCATAAACAATAACGATGACAACGGAAATGTAAAGTCTAAGCACAATTTGCTTTGCTAGCGCGTCACATAAAATACACAAAAATTGCTAGAGAATTGACAACCTCCTTCTTGAAGAGTGTAGTACGTATATTAAATAGTAGCCTAAATAATACAATGTATTGCACCTATATCCCCCTCTTGCAACTAAGTGAAAGCTAGTACCCGTCGAGACGAGAATGAGCAGTATCAAAAAGATAACGCGTTCGTCAAGACGGTGCACGCGGCGCCACGGCAAGCAATTTTTCAATTCCGCGGTCTTAATAAATACCATCCGGTCTTATTCTTGAAATAACAAAACGTAATATCTAAGTACCTACTTATTCCAGACAAAATGGACGTTGAATCAGGAAAGGATGATTTAAGTGTTGAAGATGGGAAATTGGTTGTTTTCGTCGATATTGCGTACAAGCTCGAACAGGCTGCAAGTAAGAAATATAATTTATTTGTCATATTTGTTTTATATCATTAGAACGCATTATTGTTACCATCATCCTATATAAAGTGAGCAGGATTGAATAATTTCAAATAATATTAGAGTATCATATTAAATCGAAGCTGCAAATAAATGTAAAGAAAAAATTAAGAATGTAAACATTAAACATCAATCGAAACAAACCATAGGTTAGTAAACATATATTAGCATTAACATCCAATATAATCTACGTCATCTATATTATATGAAATTAATTTGACCGCGATTCCATTATATGAATAAAATACATTTTGTTCTCCTAAAGTTCAAGTCCGGAAGTTTATTAAGTTACATACTTTGTAATTGCGACATACTCGTACATTAACAAATTCAGTTCTTTGTCACATTGCATATACACTATTTAATTATATTAAACCTAATAGTCTGCTGTGGCGCCTTTTTGGTACATTTTTTATACCTACATAACTACCCAAAATATAAACAATCTTGTTCGTATTCTTCCTTTCATGTGTTGTAGGTACACTTGTACACTTTCTATATTCTTCCTTTATCTTTTACATTGCATTAACGTATCAATTAAATTATGATTAGTACTATTAATGATAATATTTATGCTGACAACAATTTTAATGATTAGTATACACACGTATAAAATCTAATGAAATATTAATATTAAGATACGTTATAATAGGTTGATAGGAGTAATTATTCAAATAAAAAATGAATAATCTAGCAAAAGATTAACGTATGTGTTACTACGTGGAGCATTACATAAAAAAAGACGAAAGATATATAAGAAATATTTTCAATTATTATAGGAACTATGGGTGTATGTATATCTTATTTTTTATTATATTTTATTGTGTTGTATTATAATAAAACTTAAGAGTATTTTTCTTTGTTCACTTGATAAAGGCTAAAATATCAGTATGATAACAATGTGATAGACTAGATTTTTAAAATAGAAATTGGTACATTTCTACCGCCTGTTCAAATGTATGTGTATATAAGAATCACATTGTAACATTAACATAATTCAATTGGATAGGATTAGGATATGTTCTCTCCATGTAACATTAGGTAAGACAGTAACAATATTTAAAATAACAAATATTATTCCAAACATACAAAAACACAGGGTACTTGCATATTACGCATACTCATTGTAATAAAAAAGGAAACTTATTTACATAACCCGATGAACAACTTAAGGTCGACACCAATGACTCCATCTTTGAACAAAATCGTATAACATAGATGTATTTATAATCTATATATCATCCATTAAGATTGAATCTACGTGTTGGACAGATAACTCCGAGCACTGGTTTTCTTCTTTAAAACGAGAATTTTACAACCCACAAATTTAAGTATAACACCGTTGCGTAAATTTAATAATCTTACTTTCTGTTCTCTTCCAAGGAACATCAACATCTTACATCAAATAAATCTGAATAAATATATAGGTACCTAACATATATTAAATTTACAGATTATTTATAACAGAATAATACATCAACAAGAATAGTCTATGATATATATGCACAAAATATATTATATACCAATTGACCGTGGTAAGTATGTAAGTAAATTCGTCACATAGTATTCAACATTGGTAATCAACGTCTATGTGACAGATCGACCCATTGGCTTTGCGGCGTGATATTATATTTTCTACCGCATATATCACAGGGAGTGTTCTGAGGAATTGTTCGGATTAATACCAGCTACTGAGTTTCACCACCGTACCACCCGCCGAAACTGAAATACCATCCTGATCATCTGGATGAATGGCGGTCTTCCACAGTACGGTTTTCTAGAAACTTTTTGCCTCGCACAAGCACATTGTGGAATCACCTTCCAGCAATGGTATTTCCGAACCGATACGATATTGAAACCTTCAAGAAAAGAGCTTATTCCTTTTTAAAAGGCCGACAACATACATATAATTCCCCTGGTATTGCGGGTATGGGCGGCGGTAATCACTTAATGAGCCGCATGATCGTTTGTCTGTGTTATAAAAAAAAAACATAGGTAATAAATAACCGTACGAAATACCAAATATTATTAATGAGTATGGATGGATAATGCAAAAACTACTGAACGGATTCTGATGAAACTTTACAGTGATATATCTTATACATCTGAATAATATATAGGCTATAAATTTCACGCAGGTGAAACCGTAGGCACCCATAGTATTATACATATAGTAACAATAATCATGCGTCTAATTGCGTTGAATATCAAACCTTAATGAACCGAACTAAATAAATATGTAATAAGGTCTGGTATAATAGCCAATCAATGCAAATATTGTAGATATCGAGGCAGCTAGATGCGATAGAGAATGCAATATACAAGTGTTCGTCTTGATCTTTCTGCCCTATAGAGATATACATATATATATCTACCTACAAATCAACCTGTTACAATAATACTGTTATCATAGAAAAATATATTTAAATATGACATAAAAACAAAATTCTCACAAAACTATCTCTATTAAATTTCTTTAACAATCTGAAACCTTTTTCTTTATTAACAAATTATTAAAAAATAGCAAAGACAGGACAGTACAGCCACCTATATATTTTTTTATACATGATAGTGGAATGCTGCACCCGCCTGTGCTAACTGTTTACACTAAACAGCACCACATGTGTTGCTATTTCGTAGGACTAAGAAAGCAAGGACTAAGGTGACAATAGACAGTGAAATTACAGGATACTTTTTTTCGAACTATTTTAATGTTGTTGGTCGCAGTTGGGCTTCACACCTTCACCAAACGATAGGGGGCAAATGCAAATGACACTCCAAGCTCGTGGAAAAACTTATGGAGCGGCTGAAGGAAGTAACTCCTGCTGACGTATATATATTTCTTTAATCTGAGGGCACACTAGGGGTTTGAATCGTAATTTCGATCCCCATTTGAATTCGTCGGGGATCGATCGGAAGCCGGATACTGTCTTATCCTGTAATTTCATAAACTAATGCCAACGTACACGAGTATGATGATAGTGTCATCATAACTAATACATTAACTATTATTTAGGTTTCGTTTAATATTACTATATATATAGTATATTTTTTATTTGAAAAAACCACAGCATGCTTGTATTACAACACTATATTGCTAATGTTAAACATATCTAAATAAACTAAAGTTGAAAGATCATTATGAATTAATATTAAATTACACTATTGTAATGTGACAAACATTTTTTCTGCGAGATCATTGTATTGAGGTACTGTACAGATGACAGGTGGATCACGATCCAAATTAGATATGCATTGTTTTTAAATAGTTTGCAAGGATATATGAGTACATTAAAAAAAAGTCAGCTAGGGAGGACAATCTGTACGAATATAATTAAATAAAAACTTTGAAAATTATATTCGTTAGCGTCTTTAGAAATGGCAACGTAGGCATGATAGACAGGCAGCACCGGTATCACAAAATATATTCATGACATTCATCTCGTGGTCAGGGCTACTGATACTTACTGATGTACTCAGTACTAACATAGTAAGTAATACTTCAAAGTATGTTCACATGTATAGGCGCCACATTCCGTTTGAGAGGTCAGTTTTATCATATATAAAAACAAAGTAATTTTGACACTGCGATATATCGATAGTAAAAAATTAATTGGACAATACTTATATAGATAGTGTTATTATCTACTAAAAGTGTATTGGGGCATATGAAGTACTACGATACGCCAGTTCACGCGTAGCGTCGAATGTGTGCAGTAATTATTAAGTGACAAATTCCAATAATAAACAAAGTATACATACGATATATGTCTACTGCGATTTCTATGGATATTAAAGTGGAGTCTGAAGACCACTTAGATAAAAATGGATCGGCATTACATTTCGATATCAGTTGCAAGGTCCCAAATCATGGTAAGTAAATGGTTTATATTTCGTGGTGTAGTGACAGAGAGAGAGATAACAGTATACATTAACAATGTGTCCCACTCGTTGCCAGGATATCATAATGTGCGATAGGGAAACGAAACAGAATATACCAATGCCAGAGGAAAATATATCATTACTATACTAAGATAGTCGATTGTCCGGCATGTAAATAATAGCCATTACGCTTAAAATGTAATAATCACTAGCACTAACTTTACTGGAACATTAAAGAAGGTTTAAGATCTTCAGATTATTTTCAGTAAAAATCTCTTTGTTTTCTATGTTTCATTGTATATGAATTTTTACTAGTTAAAAATTTACTGAGTTCAAAATATTTTTTCATTTCCAGTAAAGATTTTGTTAAATTATTATATTTCAAGTCTTAGAAGATTATATTGTTAGAATCCTAATTGTCAGCAGGAAGGTTTTCTTAATTGAACAACCTTATTTAATTTCCGCTAAAAATGAATGCATTTCTATAATGCTGTGTGCAAGTATTTATTTTATGACAATTGCTATGTTTTTTGACAACAAAATGACCATGGGTGTTGCTAAATATATTGTTACAATCAATTTTATAATAATCATAATAATAGCAGATTATATGTATAATGTATATGTACTTAAAACATACATTGTGATTATGTTAATTGTTTTTTTATCTACACAAAATATTCATAATAATTGGTAGATCTAATGTACTTATACATTTCTATTTTTAGTAATAATAATACACACAATAAAAGCCTGCAGGTTAAAATTATAAGTACATACGCGGCATAATTTTTAAACCTAATTTATTTAGGTATACGGTAAAAGTTACGAAAATTGCGAGGACGGCGGAATTTTAAATTTCGCACACTTATAGTTAATGTAGAGATATTATAATTTCTGTTTATTAATGTTATACATATTGTATATATACTAATGTTTAATTATTTTTTATATATTACTGTTTATATACACTCATACACACCCTACGGAATGTGGGTATGGCAACCCCATCTAAGAGTCGTCACATTATTTTATTTTAGGCTCTTATATTCTATTTATATTCTTAGAGTTACTTATCAGATACATGGCACCGAACATCATTATGCTTTGTCAGCTAATAACACTGATAAGGGAATATTTAGGTAAAAACGTTTTTCAACAATTACAAGCCGAAATTAAAATATATATAAATTATATCGAGTACGTCATGATGTCAGTTATATTTTGCAGTCATCCACACCACTATTTAGCTCTGCTTAGCTTCGTACTAGATGGCACTGTGTGAATTATCAAAAATAAAAAATATATGTTCACCTGTCTGCTCGTTATCTTTTCATGACCAAGGAACATAATACTCTAAAGAGTTCATGACTAATCGGATGAGATGATGTATCTACCGCAACTGATAAACCTATTCCTAATATAATTCACTTTAGTATCATGTATTCAACTACCGACCTCCGTATTTATAGACCAAAGTCAATGTAGTAGGTTGGTCTATAAATACTAGATGGCGCTATTTACAATTTTCGTAATAATCCTTACATTGGGTACTTCATTAGTACTAAAAACAAACTACCTTCTTTTAATATATTTTTAAAATATAGGATTTTTTCTACGATAATGAATATTTATATGAATATATAATAGATTTTCGCATATATAATATAACTTTAATATTAATGTACCATAATTAAACAATTTTGAAGTTTTGGACTTTTGGCATTTATCATATATTACAATTAAAAAATAAAGATATGAAAAAATAAAGGTCACAAATATATATAATGGACTAATTACGTTATCATTGTAACAGTGTTAATTATTATTTTTAATGTCATGTACAGTTATACGTATGATAATAGTGAGATAAAAAATAAGTTCATAAACTTAAACCCGATAAAAATCGCACAAGAAAATATTCTCGAAGTACTAGTGTTAACAGCGAATTTTTCAAAATTTTTTAAATGAAAAGTATTTTAATCCGTCCTAGTTACACTTTATCTGCATATCAAATTTCATTAATATCTAGTCAGCCCTTTAGTCCTGAAAAGGTAACAAACAGACAGATTCTTAGAACAGAACAGTTTTTAACCCGGTTTACAAAAGCGTAGAAACTGGTCCGTCAGACCACTCTTCAAATGGAAAAAAACACATGACGGTCTCTAATAAAACATTAAAATGATATTGTGTTGAAAATTTTAATGCGTGCCTTTTAACTATAAAATTGGAGTGTCTGTTTGTGATATTGAAATAACCATTTTTTACTACATGCATACGGTACATACACCAAAGTATCATTTTTTTATAAATTTTGTCTATCTGTCTGTCTGTCTGTTTGTTCCGGCTAATCTCTGAAATGGCTGGACCGATTTTGACAGGACTTTTTTTGGCAGGTAGCTGATGTAATAAGGAGTCACTTAGGCTACTTTTATTTTAGAAAAATAAAGTTAAATTCCACGCGGACGAAGTCGCGAGCACAGCTAGTATACACATATATATTAATGGAAGAGCAACCCCTAATGAAATTGGTGGTCATTGGCATGACAGGTTAAAAAGGACTAATTGCTGAAAGGTTAAAAAGGAGAAAAGATTGTCATACGACTTTGTAGGTTATGATTTCAATGACTTACTTCAATATGCAGCATATATAAATATATTTATATATTTTCACCTGCATCAATATGCAGGTGAAAAGTGTATCTGTTGTCACATGCATAAAATTTAGTATTTGACGAATTATTAATTTTTTGCTACATATATACGCACTTGATGTTAACAATAAGTATGATTAATAAATAAAATTTTGCATTATTGTGTCTTAATACTCAGTATTATAGTAATTTTCTATCTATATCTAAACAGTACCAGACTTTAGTTGAAAACGAATGCCGGTATTGGTATCGCTACAAAGATTTCAGTGATTTCTGTAAGAAAGTTGCTGTATGTCCTGGTTCTCCCATGAAATGTAAAGTGAAAATATCTGTCAAAACATAATGCAACATAATTGTAACTACAAATTACTAAAGATAAGATAATTATATATTAGTATGTCTCGTGTACAACAAATATTTGGAAAACCCTTGCTAATGTTCTTAGGCAATCTTATCTGTTATCTCACCAGAACCGTAATTATATGGTACCTATTTGTTTTGTCGTGTAGTCAGAATTTACTGTCGTCCTATCGTCTCTGTTATACATTATAGACAAAAACTTGGACATTTTGTAAGATGTTTACTACATCCATATTTCCATATTCATTTTATAAATGTCAAAGTATGTTTGTATCTTTGTTACCTTTTCAATAAAAAGGGTGCTTTTTCAAAATTAAGTGAACAGTTAAAAATTAAATTAAACGTTAAATTAGATTTTTTCACAAAGACGTTCTAACTCAAAAAAGCCGACGAAGTCAAGGTAACACTACAAATCCATCATAACACCTTTTAATCGCAAAAGGCGATTAGGGAAACGACAGGAAACCCCTGAATTAAACTCAATACCAGACGTATTGTGTTCCACGTAATAATAACCGACTGCTTATAAGACTAGACCCTAGTATTTTCTGATTTAATGTTAAGAAACCTGTGCTCTGCAGTTGATTTTGAACAACTTGCTGAGCTCCTACGAGGAGCAGAAAACAGTTCAACCATAAATAATAAGTTGTAATAATTATAGTGATCAAGTCTATCAATTTAAATACGAATAGGATGTTTTTACTTTTTAATTTTCATTTGGTTTCCTAAAAAATGAAATAATATTTAATTAAAATGTTTCGTTCCAGTTCTCTTCTCTCAATTTTTAATATTTGAGTATGCAGGCCCATTTCTTAAAAATATTGCCATAAATGTTTGAAGGTCTCTTGATTTATTGATGTCTGATATATCAACGTTTTACTTTATACAGAAAGAGGTGGATGGATTAAAAAGAAAACCGCTGAAAATTATTCCAGTATCTTGAATGAAGCATGTGGCGCCATACGACCTGGCCGCCTTACCTTCATCCTAGGCCCATCTGGCGCCGGGAAAACTACTCTTCTGAAAATATTAGCTGGGAGAAAGTAAGTATGGTGAGAAATAACTATTATTTTACATTGCGAAATCTTCTACTCACAAAAACTTCACAAAAATTTGTTGTTTGGTTGTTTTATCATAACGTGTAAGGGCATTATACCTATTTTATAATTAAATTTGGAACGCATAACTTTCATTTGCCACCGACAAGAGCGTGGATGTTTATTCTTAAGTTCATAACTTAAGAATAAACATCCGAACGAATATTCAATTGTTTCTAGAATAAATTATAATTAACTGAAATGAAAAATATCATTACGGTATTTTATTTATCTTCAGAATTGAAAGTATGACTGATACAGTTTAAGTACCTACATAAATATAATGTAAATACAATAATGTTTTTCAGAAAGACAGGCGTAACAGGTTATTTACACGGTGCAGGTCGTAACTCGGTGCTTGTGAGTCAGAATGCTACGCTTTTGGATACGCTGACAGCAGGGGAGACGCTATTGTTTGCATCCAGACTCAAACTGCCCAACGTCAACAACCGCGAGCGGTCACATGCGGTATATTTTAATAACTATTGGACACAAAGTTGCCTATATTGCAAAGTTTTTTTATGCATAAGTTATCACATAATGGTGCACCCTTCTGCGCCCGAGGGGCGACCGTTGAATGATAGGATGAGCATGAAGAAAGGTCAGATAGTCTATGATAGCAAAAGTTTCCTGGGGATAAACGTGACATGTGAACGTGAACAGACAGAGCTAGTAATTACGTATTAATTAGTAAATACATTATTAAAAAACTTCTCCCTCTCATATGGTTTTATACAACATTTTTACCTACAGAAATGTATGTATATTTGTATTATACCAGACAATATATAATACATTACCTAAATAAAAGTATATTATCTATATACACCGTAAAGCCCACACTAGTTCCCCATCTAAAATATTAAAAAAATTACCTACGACATTTTCTATCTTTTTTGTACATACAAAGTAAAAACTTATATGATTGGCAACCCTAATTGGATATAGTAATGTTTATTGAAATTATGTGATCAGAATATTGAATTCATGGTCACGAAGTATTTATTACTTTTGACACTTAGATAATATTAGGTAGGTATATATAATATTATCTAATATAATAGTGACTGTAATAATTTCAAATTATACATTCTAAACAGAATTTTTCTACAGAGGCATAACATCTAATATAGTTTATATAGTCATTTGACATAGACTATAGTCGCAAAGAACAATAAAGAATGCTAAATTACTAATGCTAGGATACCATGGATCATAGTTTTTGATTTTTGGGTATATTGGAAAAAAGGTGTAAAATGGCAGTGAGGGGTTATTTTAAGGGTGCATATTTATTTTATTATGTGTATGTCATTTGTATATTTTTTGTAAATGTTTATAATATATGTATGTTTGTATTTTGATATATACCTAATTATTATTCACGTCTAAAATAGTTTTAACATTTCCTTTCATTCCCTTTCATTTACCTTCTTGTCCATTCTCCTCTACCCTAAGGTTGTCTGGTAGAAATTTATTAAGAGAAGAGATCGTCTTTTTCACTCAATAATTATGTTTCTGGTGCTAATAGGTAATAAATAAAAACAATATATTTTGCAGATATCAACAATATCATTACAGTTGGGTATACACGAGACACTGAATACTAGAGCAGGACATCTGTCTGGTGGTGAGAGAAAGAGACTTACCATTGCTTGTGAACTGTTAGCTGATCCTACCATACTATTATTAGATGAACCGACCAGGTTAGTTAAAATGGGACTGAGAGATAGTTACATTTAAAGTAAATTGGGGGCCGGTCGATTTACTGCCGAATATTGAAACGAAAAATTTCGAAATCATTTCGATATCTTAGAGAATGTAATTACAATGACCATGTTGGTAAATAGTTCTCTATAAATCTTGTTTATCTTAAATACTCGAACTTAGTATTTGTTTACAACTTAATTGTTTAAGTTGTAAACAAACCCTGTGAATAGATTTAAAAGATTTCTGAGCCCTCACACCTTCCAGTACCCTGTTCAATATGTGTTATATTGAAATGGATAATAATGATAATGCCACATTTAATCGTATCTTGTGCCATATAAAATCTGAAATAGTAAATAAGGGCATTAAATTGTGTTAGTAATTTTATTAAATATAATGAACAAATTATTTAAATAATTTAAGTACCTAATTTAAAAGTGCTGCTATTCCACAGTGGCTTGGACTCAGTATCATCCATGTCAGTGGCCCGAGCTCTACAAGCCATAGCTCGTAGTGGCCGAACTGTAGCCTGCGTCATCCATCAACCCTCTTCTCAACTGTTTACGTCAGCAGATGACGTGATACTGCTGGCGAACGGCCGCACTCTATACGCTGGATCTGTAGCTGACTTACCTGACACACTAGCCAAAGCTAACTTCGTATGCCCACAATACTATAATATGGCTGATTACTGTAAGTAATTAATGTTGTAGTTACCTATTAGAAAACATTCTAACAAAACATAAAAATATGCAAATTCATCACACTATTATAATTGAATTAAAAAGAAATACCTACATATATTCATATGTTTAAGCATATCTTATATATCAAATTCTCGTGTCACGATGTTAGTTACCATACTCCTCCCAAAAGCTTGATCGATTTTATGAAATTTTATATGCACATTCGGGAAGTTTTATTTTAAAATTCTTTAAGCAGATTCATAATTACAAAAATCTTAATTTAATTTATCCAACCATGTTAAGGAAAAAAAATTGCTAACTCTCTCATCGTACTAAGTACGTAGTAGTAAATTCTTTTATATATATATATATATATATATATATATAGTGTTATACAGAATCTTATATATTTAATGTAGAGTATTCTTCATGGCAGATACCTACTGTCAAATTCTTTTCTCAGTAAAACCCTAGCATGATTTGAACACTTTTCCAAAGTTACTTTTCTTTTCTACAGCGATGACGCGTTCTTTTAGCAGGCTCGTCCTCGCGTAGAGGGAGCTTCTCCCATTCGTGGAGTTAAAAACAAAGAGTACTCGGCATTGCTTGGACTCCTAATATGGACAATATCATTAAGTCACCAACCCCGTATTTGGTCTTTGCTAAAAAGACAAACAAAAGAATGCATAAACTCCTTCCTTCAAAATTACTGATACTAGATAGTATAGATCTAGATGTATGTGAAACAAAAAAACGCAAGACATAAACATACCTAGTAAATTTAACACAAAAGTCATGAGTTGGATGAATGAAGTACAAAGTGAAAGATAACTTTAGACGAGAAACAATAGGTACCTATATTATAATAAATATACCTATAAATATTACTACGTACATTGTAAACTATGACATATGTAAAAAATAAATTATATGCATAAAGTTCAATAAGTTGACATTTACTTAATAGGAATAATATACCTACCTATAATGATTTGTTGACGACGGCGACGGTAGCGTTGTATTAATTACTTTTGTATAGGGTCGCCACTGTCATATTGGATTCAAATGTATTCAATAATACATCAAATAAAACAGAACATTTTAGTCGCTTATGAATGTCTAGTTTATTGTATTAATATTTTTTCCGTGCCGTACAAATACTCGGTAGGTACTAAAAATATAATATACTACAGTAATGCCTCTGACTACCTCGATATATTATCCATTGATTTCAAAGTATAGGTATTTATTCAACTCTAAAAATAAATGAAATTACGTATTACTTGAATTGTATTTGTTGAAGAGTACCTATTTACTTAATGTACCTACATTGTATCGTTTAAGCCTTAAACAATACAATGTAAGGTACATTGAAGTACAACACGTCTATTAACATTGCCATAAGCTTTAACTTTAAGGAATATCAGTAGATTTGAAACATTAATTTTTACAGTACTAGAAATAGCGAGCGGTGAAAGCTCTGGCAACCTAACACTCCTGGAAACTGAAGCTAAAAGTTTTACATATGAAATGAAAAGAATTGCGAAAAATGACATCGAAGAGAAAAGTGGAAAAGGTAAGGTTATACATTTTGGACGATATGGAAGATTAACTGACTAAGGCTATAATTGTAATCATTATACAAAAGTTTTTTAAGTATTAAAGCTATAGGTAGCTTTAATACTTAAAAAACTACTTGTTATGTAATTCGTTTTAACGTTAGAAGGCATATCCAGAAACTCTACATTACTCTACGTAACTATAAAAATAAATTGATTGTTTGAAGATTAATCTTAGTAGTAAACAATTTTGAGTGTAAGGTAAGGGTACATTGCACTCAACATTAAAAATCGTGATTATGTAACTTTAAAACAATTTCGCAATAATAATGTGACAAATATGTATAAATTTTAGTGATAAATACGGAAGCGGAAGCTCTTCTAAATACACAAAGCACACAATCACATGGGTATGCGGCGAGTTCATCTCAACAACTAAGAGCTCTTCTTTGGCGTTGCTACATTGGGGCATTGAGAGATGTACACTTAACTCAAGTATGGAACACTTATTAAACAGTAATAATACTCTATATATCTTCACAACCATCATGATCAACCAGATGGTGTAATCAAGTGTCGACGTTATGATGAACAGAACACTTCACTTTCCTACATTTAGCTAGGTAAACTTATTTGAATTGTGGTGTCCGACCTGATACGAACTGACGACTTTTACGTTCTATTCTAAGACAAAGTAAAAAAGTAACGAGGCCACGACTTTCCTAGAAATAAAAACTGCCATTTAATAATATGTCGTTTAGTGTAGTCCTCTTGAATATATTGTATCTTGTACTAGCAACCCGTCCCAAACTTCGCACGAGCCCAATATTTGTTTAACATTTAAACAGTTCGACACATTTTAGTACGAGTAAGTAAAAACATTTTCGTAAATAATATGTTGTTTTAGAAGAAATATGATTACCATACAAAAAGTTATAATGAGTCAACTTTAAAAGTCCGTGACAAAATAGAAATATGTTGTCACGGACTCTTTTTAGAACTTTTACAGAAGAACAATTCTGGCATACTTTTAACATACGCGTAACTACGAGTATAACCGTTTACGCAGCGCACGCAAACGGAAGCATTAATTTTTCATTGCTGATCCGCTCCTATAGGTCGTATCGTAATGTTATATAGCCTATAGCAATCGACCTTCTTTTTGAAAGATTTTTTATAATATTTATGTATAAGTAATACAGATTACGAAATTTAAACAGATCCGGCTAGTCTGCCACTTGATAGTGGCGCTGCTGCTGGGGGCATTATACAACGGCGCAGGCGCCGATGCCGCCCGTGTTATGTCAAACACCGGTTGCTTGTTCTTCTTCTTACTCTTTTTGTTCTTCTCTAATGCCATGCCACCGATACACACATGTGAGTTATCATACCTACAACAGAAGAATTAACACTACGTTTTATGAGAGTTGGCGCCGCCGTGATAAGAATTTTATCAAAATTAATTCTATATCTTTTCAAATTAAAAGAAAAGTGTTTTATTTTAATTAAGGCGTGCTTATGAAATAATATCTATTTTTAAGCTATATACTATTATTTTACTAATGTGATACTATTTTTGCAGTTCCTGTTGAAGCATCAGTTGTTCTACAAGAGCATTTGAATAAATGGTATTCTCTGACAACATACTGCGTTTCCAAAGTCTTAGTAGATTTGCCCGTACAGGTAAGCTTTGTTCTAGAAATCAGGACATACTAATTAAATAAGAGGCTGGTATAACCCCTATTTATGGCTAAGAAGGTACCATAAATTAACTCAGTACCATAATTCTTAACTCAAGTAGGTATATAACTAGTTTTTCATTAAAACAATTTATTAAAATCGATAATAACATCACTTAGATAGAAGTCCACATGATAGATACTCAATATATAAGAGAACATTTGCTACCTATCATTACTCACATCATCAATTCTTCTCTACTCTCCTCCGAATTTCCTACATCCTGGCTTAAAGCATTTGTGCTTACCCTTCCTAAAGTTTCCTCCCCACAACTCCCTAAGGACTTTAGACCTATTTCAATCCTGCCCTTCCTCTCAAAAATTTTAGAAGCTGTTTCCCACAAACAATTATCTGCTTTTGTATTGACTAACAAACTGTTGAGTCCTTACCAATCAGGTTTTCGTCCTGGACACAGCACTACTACTGCTGTACTGAAAATCACCGAGGATGTGAGGGAGGGCATGGAACAATCCAAATTAACTGTTCTGGTCTTGGTTGATTTTTCCAACGCATTTAACACGGTTGATCACGACATCCTACTCGCCATCCTTGCACATCTTGGGATTTCATCATCAGTCGTGAAATGGTTTGCCTCTTATCTTCGTGGTCGTCAGCAAGCAGTCCGTGTAAGCCAGTCTTTTTCTGACTGGTGCGAGCTTATCGCTGGCGTTCCACAAGGCGGAATTTTATCTCCTTTACTTTTTTCTATCTTTATTGATTTTATCACTACAAATCTCAAATGCTCTTATCATCTATATGCGGATGATCTTCAGGTATACTCTCAAGCTGTAGCTTCTGAGCTTGGTGAGGCCATCGATCATTTGAATATTGATCTCGATCATATTCTCAAATGGTCCAAAAAGTTTGGTGTTTCTATTAATCCTTCCAAGTGTCAGGCTATAATCCTTGGAAGCAAACAACAACTTAGCAAAATTGAGTTTGGCACTTTGCCTCCAGTTCTCTTCGGCAATCAAACTATTACCTACAGTGCGCATGTTAAAAACATCGGCTTGTTGATGGACAGTACTCTTAGCTGGAACAAACATGTTAACGAGATCAGTCGTAAAACTACAGTGACACTACGTAACTTATACAGGCTTAAAAATTTCCTCCCCATAAGTACCAAAATCCTGCTTATTCAATCCTTACTCCTTCCCACCATTGATTACGCCGATGTGTGTTGCTCTGACATGAATGTAGATCTTTTAAACAAATTGGATCGTCTTATCAACAACTCTATCCGGTTTATTTTTAATCTCCGCAAATTCGATCATATCTCTTCTTATCGTTCTCAGCTTAAATGGCTACCTATCCGCTATCGTAGGAATGTCCGTATGCTTTGTACTCTCTATTCCATTCTATATGATCCAAATTCTCCTGATTATATTAAGAATAAATTTCATTTCCATGGGGACAACACCAATCACTGTATTCGTACATCCAGAAAATTTTTACTTCATATCCCGGCTCATTTGTCCGGTTTCGTCCACTATTCTTTCGCCATTCAGGCAATCAAACTTTGGAATGACTTACCTCTTGATATCAAAACTGCTACGAATAAATTATTTGAATTTATAACTTTCTCTCTTCTCTGAATTCACTTTTTTTCCATTTAACTCTCTTTAGTTCTGTGACTGTCAGACTATTTGGTATATATTTAAGTTTATTGCATATATATGCATATATTTATGTGTATATAGGTATCATATTTGTATATATATATATATAAACACCTCTTTGGGCACTTTGTTGATCACGCCACAAGCGAAACACTTGCTGATTCCACCTTTTGCACTGAATAACTTCACACCTATCGCGTATATCTCAGGCGGTATGGCAACGTCGCATTCTATTTTGCGATGCGGCCATATATATTCGTCGATAGTACGATATACTCGACACTTTTTTTACTAATAATTCGTGACTGAATGGCTCCGAACGGCTAAATTTTTGGTATACACAAAGACTTTTTGGCTCTGAATATATTCCAAAAATCAATTAATTATGTTGATCACTTTATATACTCGTCCTTACTGCGATACTTATTTTCATCCGAATATATATAGATACCGTAACGGTCTATCAATTATGAATTTATTAATTTACTAATGTAGATAATTTATATTCGCAATGCTCCATACATGCAAGCTCCAGCAACGGTGGAGGCAGGGTCCCCCCTGCACCGTACACCGCACCTCGCGCACACAAACAAATTAGATATTTTTTGAATACACAAAGACTTTTTGGCTCTGTATATATATTTCAAAAATCAATTAATTGTGTTGATCACTTTATATACTGGTCCTTACTGCGATACTTATTTTAATCAGAATATATATAGATACCGTAACGGTCTATCAATTATGAATTTACTAATCTAGATATTTTATATTCGCAATGCTCCATACATGCAAGCTCTAGCAACGGTGGAGGCAGGGGGGAGCACCGTACACCGCACCCCGCGCACATAAACAAATTAGAATAAATTAAATTCATAAGATTATTTATATATTTCGACTGCCTCGGTGGTCACACCGCTTTACATCCGATGGTCACGGGTTCGATTTCTCGCACGGTGCAAACATTTGTACTCATCGGTCATCGATTGTTTTCATCGGTCTGGGTGTTTTATATGTATATTATATATGTATTTACAAAATAAAAATATCTATTTATATCAGTTCAGTATCAGTCTGTGTTAATTGTCCAGGGCTATTTATTATATTTTTATAAACGGTTATCTTTTTCCATCGCACCGCTCGCTATCGACAGTGAATTCATAGAAATGTCACTCTAAAAACAAAAATAGTTTTGTGTTTTGTATTTCAAATACTAAATGCAAAATAGGTATTTTCAAAATACTTTTTCAAAATAAAGTACCTTTTGAATTTTTGTCCAAACCTCAGATATTTTATTTATTTTAGGTATATCAATCATTACATAGTGTAGTATAAAACAAAGTCGCTGTCGCATCTAACAGTACATAAACAAAGAAAGAAGACTTTTTGGCTCTGATACCGTAACGGACTATCAATTATGAATTTATTATACCTAATCTAGATATTTTATATTCGCAATGCTACGTACATTGTAATATGCGCCTCCATTCATTGTAACGGTGGAGGGACTAAATAGTTGAATAAAACTGAATAAGCAGTTGCTCCACTCTATAGGTATGCGTCGTCGTCGTATGCTGTTCATTTTTTCACTCGTTTTGGCGCCAAGAGAGGGTCACATAGTCGTGGTCAAGTTAAGAACTTATAATTTAATTTTAATGACAATAGATACAAGTAAAAAGTAGGTATTATATTAATGTACGTAAGTACTGTACTTAAAAATATTTATTCTTTATTGTACATTTGAAAAACTTAACACTTAAGGACTTGTACATATACACGTACATACTGCCATTTTCTCTTAAAGACATCCAGAGAAGCACTATTTATCAAATACGCGGGGTGCACCGACCTTTGACCTTATAACACCTGATTCGCGCGTAACGAATTACATTGCTACTTACATTACTATTTTATAGTGGATATTTCACTATAAAATATTATTATTTCTTTAGATTATGACGTAATAACATAGTTTACATGATTTTAAGGGAAACATACGATAAAAAAAATTCCCGTAAAATGTAAAAGATAAAAAATGGTTATTGTTGGTTATCCTTAAGAGATAGACATATACCATCACGGACTTTTTTGTTGACCTTATATTGATACATCTCGAAGCACTAGACAATACGCATTTTCATTAAACAGTAGTGTATTTTTATTTATTTATTTAACTTTAATGCACAAAAAAATTTGTACATGTGGTGGACGTAATATCTTGCCGCGTTAATTACCAGGCAACTATGAGTGGTGCAGAAAAAGATTATTGGCGGTGCACTAATATAAATAAGAAATGTCAAAAAAAGATATATAAATACAAAGCAAAATATAAATTTTTATAAAAAAATAACAATATACATACATAAATATATATGTAAATATAACCCATAAATGTATAAATATTCTATATAAATGAATACATAATGATCCGATAATCAAATTATAAGTACAGTCTCAAATTGAAAGTAAGAAAAACATATAGAGAGAACTATAGGGATATAACAGAAAGATGTGAAAAAAGGAGAAGGACAGTAAAAAAGTTACAAATTTAAATAATGTTCCCGCAATTTCTGTTTACATGAATTTATTACATTATTATATATATTAGGCATACGACTAGCCTTATGACTGTTACTTTTTTTTTAATCTATACATCTATACATGTAAATAAAATTGGAGTGTCTGTTTGTAATATTGAAATAACCGTTTTTTACTACTTGCATATGAATATAAATACGGTACATACACCAAAATAACATATTTTACAAGTTTTGTCTGTCTGTCTGTCTGTTTGTTCCGGCTAATCTCTGAAATAGCTGGACCGATTTTGACGGGACTTTTTTTGGCAAGTAGCTGATGTAATAAGGAGTAACTTACGCTACTGTTATTTTAGAAAAATAAAATAAATTTTCACGCGGACGAAGTCGCTTTGGCCAGCTAGTCTATAGATATACCGAGATTTAATATTTAAGTTGCTATTATGTTGTTGACAAAATTTTACTGTAATGTTACTATTACATTATCCTACACAATTTGTATTATTTTGGATGAATAAATAAATAAATAAATAATAATCTATACATCTATACATATAAGTAAAATTGGAGTGTCTGTTTGTAATATTGAAAAAACCGTTTTTTACTACATGCATATGAATATATATAAGGTACATATACCAAAATAACTATTTTTATAATTTTTGTCTGTCTGTCTGTCGGTCTGTTTGTTCCGGCTAATCTCTGAAATGGCTGGACCGATTTTGACGGTACTTTTTTTGGCAGGTAGCTGATTTATAAGGAGTAACTTAGGCTACTTTTATTTTAG